AATATCCTCGGGTGAGGATTAAAAAAAAAGAAAAGAAATTATACCAATTCTCTATAACCCCTTTCAGAAGACAGAAGCAGAGAGAATACTTCCTAACTTATTCAATTACTCTAATAACAAAACAAGACAAAGACATTGCAAGAAAACTACAGACTAACGTATCTCATAAATATAGATGCCAAAATCCTCAACAAAACATCAGCAAACCGAATCTACAAAGTATAAGAATTATACAGCATGACCAAGTGGGACTTATGCCAGGCCTGTAATCCATCACATCAATAGGCTAAAAAATAAAAACCACAAGATCCAATCAACAGCTGTAGAAAAAGCATTTGATAAACTCCAACACCCATTCACAACAAAAACTCAAGAAACTAGGAATAGAGGCAAACTTCCTCAACTTGATAAAGAATATCTACAAAAAGACCACAGCTAACTCATATTTCATGGTGAGAAATTTGGAAACTTTTCCACTAATAACAGGAACAGGCTAAAATATCCCACTTCACCAATGCTTTTCAGCATCATACTGGAAGTCCTTGCAAATGTAAAATGAGAAAAGGAAATAGGTATACTAAGTGAGAAGGAAGAAATAAAATTGTCTTTGTTTGCAAATGACTAATAGTCTACATAGAAAAAATACACAAAAGAATAAACACATAAACACAAACACACAAACTTCTGAAACTAATAAGCTATTATATAGCAAAGTTGCAGGGTACAAGATTAATATACAGAAGTCAATCATTTTCCTATAAACCACCAATGAATAAGTGGAATTTGAAGTTAAAAACACAATACCATTTACATTAGCATCTAAAAATATGAAATAATTAGGTACAAGGCTAACAAAATATGAACGAGATCTATATGAATAAAACTACAAAACTCTGATGAAAGAATTCAAAGAATAAATGGAGAGATATTTCATGTTTGTGGATAGGGAAAATCCATATTGTCAAGAAGTCAATTCTTCCCAACTTGATTTCTAGATTTAATGAAATTCCAATAAAAACACCAGCAAGTTATTTTGTAGTGTTTTTTTTTGCTGTTTGCTTTTTTTAATCCTTACCTGAGGACATTTTTGCATTTATCTTCAGATAGAGTGGGAGGGGGAGAGGAAGGAAGAGAAAGAGAGAAATGTCGATGAGAGAGAGACATCAACTGGCTGCCACCCACACGACCCCAACCAGGGGTCAGGGACAAACCGCAACCGAGGTACGTGCCCTTAGTGTGAACCAAACCCTGGACTCTCTGGTCCGTGGGCTGACGCTCTAACCACTGAGCAAAACTGGCCAGGGCCAGGAAGTTATTTTGTAGATAATGACAAAGTGATTCTAAAGTTTATATTCAGAGAAAAAAGGCTCAGAATAGCAAACATAATACTGAAGAACAAAGTTGGAAGACGGACACTACCTGATTTCAAGGCCTACTATAAAGCTACAGTAATCAAGGCAGTGTGGAATTGATGAAGCAATAGACAAACTGATCGCCAGAAAAAAATAAAGGACCCAGAAACAGACCCATAAAACACCGTCGACTAACCTTTCATAAAGGAGCAAAGACAGTCTTTTCAACAAATGGTGCTGAAACTGGACATCCTCATGGAAAAAAAAAAGAATCTAGACACAGACCTTACACCCTTCACACAAAAATTAATTTAAAACGGATCATACTGCCCAGCTGGTGTGGCTCAGTGGTTGAGTGTCGACCCATGCACCAAGAGGTTGCCAGTTCGATTCCTAGTCAGGGCACATGCCAGGGTTGCAGGCTCAATCCCCAGTAGGGAGCGTACAGGAGGCAACTGATCGATGTTTCTCTTTCACATTGATGTTTCTATCTCTCACTCCCTAAAAAAAAAAAAAATCAATAAAAACATTAAAAAAAAAAAGGATCACAGACCTAAATGTAAAATGCAATAACATAAAACTCCTATAAAATAATATAGGAGAAAACCTAGATGACTTTGGATATGGCAATGACTTTTTAGATACAATACTAAGGGAACAATCTAAGAAAAAGAAACTGATAAGCTGGACTTCATTAAAACCAAAAATGTCTTCTCTGTGAAAGGCAAAATCAAGAGAATGAGAACACAAGCCGCAGACTAGGAGAAAATAACTAAATATACCATACTATCCAGCAATCACATTCCTTAGTATTTATCCCAGAGATGACAATTTATGTCCAAACAAAAACCTGCCCACGGATGTTTATAGTAGCTTTCTTCATTAAGTACCCAAACTTGGAAGCAACCAATACATCCTACAGTAGGTGAAAGGATAAACTGTGGTATATCCAGATAATGAAATATTATTCGGTGCTAAAAAAAAGGGAGAGCTATGAAGCCATTAAAATACATGGAGGAATCTTAAATGCTTATCACTAAGTGAACAAAGCCGATCTGAAAAAGCTACACACTATATGATTCCAATAATATGATACTCTGGAAAAGGCAAAACTGCCAAATCAGTACAAAGATCAGTAATAGTCAGGGGTTAGGGAGGAAATAGGGATGAATAATCAGAACATAATAGATTTTAGGAGATCACCCCTCTGGATAGGAGTTATCCTCCCCCCTCCCTCCTACTTAACCAGTTAACACTTTGGTGTCTTTCCTTACAGTCTTTTTTCACTTGAACAGTGCTGTGGTTCTAACTTCCGTATCCTAATTTTTAAAAAACTTTTAAATCCAACAACATAAGGCTTTCTCATCAGAATGCAGTGGATCTTGGTGGCAAAGACACTTCCACTGACCTGCCTCCTTGCCTCGGTTTCCTTCACCTGTGAGAGGCCAACACACTTGTAAAGAGAACAAGGTGGCTCACACAGGCGATGTGTTAGAGATGTAGTTACAGGATTTTAGCCTACAAGGACTGAACATTCAACATGTTAATAGTTTTTCATTACTATGGATAATGCTGTATTTAACATTATTTCTGGGGATGGCATCTCAGAAGTGGGGTGACTTGTCAAAGAAATGGGTCAATAGTTGTAACAGACTGGTTTCCAAAACACACAGCTGCTAGGGTGTGCCTGGCCCACACAGGGAATCAGGGGAGCACAGAAGGGGTAGAGCAGCAAGTACATTAGGTGGCTGTTTGATTTAGGGAAGAGGGACTGTCTTACACCTGACACCACATGAAGATTAAATAGTTCCTGTGGTATGAACCTGCATACCCTGACTAGGCTCAAATACCCAAAAATCTCTCATTCATTCCTCCCCAGCGCATGGAAGTGCTGACTTTGGTCCCTCAGCAGCTCACCTTCAACTACTTCTCTGAGGGCACCCCAGGGTCCATTCTTACCCTAGGCATGGCCCCCAACCTGGCTATCCCCAACCCCTCAGCAGCCTTCCCTAAATCCCCTCTGCCTCAACCCTCAACCTGGAATGATCGATCACCCTCCATGACTGCTGCCATTGTTCCTGGAAGCACAGCTGACCCCATCACTCCCTATGCAGACTCTCCAAAGCTCTCAATCAACACCTGAGCCCTCTAGGACCTGGCCCTGCCTGGCTCCACAGCTTGTCTGCACTGCACGCCACAGCTCACCATGCACCCCAGCCACACTAGCACAGTGCCTGCCATCTCAGCTGCTTCACTCCATCACATAGCAGTCCTTCTGGACATGCTCCTCTGTTTTGTGTCTAGCTCCTGCTGTCTCACATGTAGAAGATGTGACTGGCTGCCTGCCTAACATCCACACTCGCTTCCTTCCTCCTGAGTCCCTGATGGTGTCTCTGAATCAACAGCCCAGGTGGCTGCTGCTTCTGTACTTTTTGTTAATCACCATCACATCTCCTCACTGACTAGGTGGGGACTTCAGTTACTTGTAGCCAAGTGTCCTCACAGGTACATTATCCCATGCTGGGTTCAGTGTCCATTTCATGAGCCTCTGCCAGTACCACTCTGCAGCAGTGACTGCCCCCCAAACTCCCCTGGCAAAGAGCAGGTGCTAAATCCTGCCAATGAATGAATGAGTAGGTGAGCAGACCTAGCCTGAAGGGCTGGGGTATAACTTCATGTCTGGGAACAATAGGGGGGCCAGGGGGCCAGGCTGCTTATCCCATCTAGTCTTCGGAAACTCCACACAGGCTAGGATTCCCACTCCTCAAAACCAAAAGCAGGTACCACATTCCTGCTTTCTTGCTGTTCCCTTCATTATAAAGAGACTCTAAAAACACACAGTCAGGTCCGGCTGGTGTGGCTCAGTGGTTGAGCGTTGACCCATGCACTAAGAGGTGGCCGGTTCAATTCCCGGTCAGGACATATGCCCAGGTTGTGGGCCCGATCCCCAGTGGGGGGCATGAAGGAGGCGGTCAATCGATGTTCATGCTCATCGATGTTTCTATCTCTCTCTCCCTCTCATTCTAAAATCAATAAAGGAAAAAAAAATAAACATACAGTCAGCAACACAGTTCTGTGAAGTTCTGCTGGAGGACCTGGGCCCCCAGCCTGGGGCTGCTGTTTCTGTTACAAAGGGAGCTGGGTAAGTGATAGAGACTTTCTCAATGAGGCACCTGAAAAAACCAAGGCCCCTGCCCTGGCTGGTTTGGCTCTGTGGTAGAGCCTTGGCCTGTGGACCAATTAAGTCACATGTTTGATTCTGGCCAAGGGCACGTACTTTGGTTGCGGTTCATCCTCAGCCCTGGTCAGGGTTGTGCGGGAGGCAACCAGTCCATGTGTCCCTCTCACATTGATGTTTCTCTCTCTCTCCCTCCCACTCTATCTGAAGATAAATGGAAAAATATCCTCGGGTGAGGATTAAAAAGAAAAACACAAGGCCCCAAAGGCGCTTGCACACCCAGCTCAGAGACAATTCAGGGCAGTAATGTGCACTTCGGGAGTGCCTGTGTGGCGGCAAGGCTGGGCTCTGGGGTCAGAAACTTCTAGAGTGGAGTTCCAGCCCTCATCACAGGACCCTAGCTTGTCTCAGGGCCACATCAAGCCTGTGACCAGGGTAAAGGGTCACCTTCCTGGTGGGTCCCTCCTTACCTGAATGCCTGGTTCTCACGATTGTTCTGGAGGGCGATGGTTTCCACCTCGGGACCCCCATCCGCTATGAACCTGGCCAACTTTTCTGCAAGGTTCTTGACCTCTTCATCCTCTGGGGGTGAAACTTTAAGCAGGCTGTCAGTACTGAGCTCAACTCACCACACCCAACAGCCTAATTTCTGCTAAGAACCCCATGGGCAACAGGAGGGGTTTATTTTAGGAACAATGCAAAGAAAAACAGGCAAAGGGGAATCAGATTACTGCACTAGGACCAAACACATAGTTAATACTACAACTTATTCCAACCCCCCCCCCATCGCCCCTTCCCACCCATAGGTCTTGGGGGCCTTGGACACATGCTGGGACATGGGAGCAGAATGTGAGGGAATGTCTATGTCAAGGCCAGAGGGAAGATGAGAGCCCCCAGGTTGGTCTTTCGACAGGGGGATTCCCAGCCAAGTCACATGGGGATATGAGTGTGGCCCTCCTTCTGGGGAGGTCAGGGAAAAGAGCCACAGGGGACATGATAGACCAAACTCTGTGGCCCATATCAGGTCTAAACATCAATCCCTACCACCCATCAGAGCTTGGCTGGGACATTTATCACAGCTGGAGACCATTTAGCCTTTTCTCCATCCCCCTGACACTCATCCCACCAGGATCTCAGCAGCTGACTGTTTCTGTACCGGCTCCCTTGGCCACCGGCTCCCTTGGCCACCGGCTCCCTTGGCCCCCGCCTCAAGTGTCAGGTGCTACCCTTGTCTCTAGGGTTGGTAGACACTCATCAACACTTGTTAAAATGACCATAAACCAATAGGCTAGCTCACATTCCCTCTGTCCCCCGTGTACAGAGCTGAGCTCCTGAATACGACCTTTACCTTGGCCCTCAGACCTCCTCACTCTTCAGAGCACTGGTAAGGAGGGTGACACCAGCCCCAGCTTGACCCTTGCTGCCAGGGAGGGCACAGACCTAAGATATTAATGCTACCCCATGCCACAGCACCCTCTAGGAACCCCAATTCCACATGGGGCACAATCTGTCCATACGCCTCCGCAGAACCTTCCACCCCTCTCCACCCACCTACCTTTCTGAGAGTTTGTCTGCAACTTCTGTGCTTCCTTTTTTATCTCAGCCACCTTCTTTCTGTAGTAGAGGAATTCCCTGCTATTCTTATCGTGCAAAAACCTGAAGAGTTTTGCAAAACAGAAAAAATGAGGAATGAGGATGGGTAGACTTGTGCAGCTTCTGAAGATATGTTATGCAAAAGCAAGCTGACAAGCAGAGATGCCTTGACAGGGCCCCAAATTAAGTCTTCGTGCCACATTGGAGCCTCTTGCAACCTTTGGTGTGAGTTATAAAGTGCTTGGAACAACGTCTGGCCCACGCAAGCAAGCACCCAGCCCAAGTCAGCCTCAGTCACCACGAGGATTTTACAAGAACATCTGCATGTACTATTGTGTGGCAAGAACATTAAGTACCAGTGACCTTCCCCTCCCAGAAATACTTACGAAAATGCCGGGTTATCCTTGTAGTTCTCCATAGCTACTTTTTCTAACTCGGGACCTCCTTCTGCCACAAAGCGGGCCAATTTCTCTATCACTTTCCGAGTCTCGACTCCCTCTGGGGGTGAAACTTTAAGGAGGCTGTCAGTACTGGGGTTCAACTCACACACCCCACAGTCAACAGGCACACTCTCTCTACGGACCACAAGGACAGAGGGGTAGGGGAAGAAGAGGGTGAAATGCAGGAGGTTGTCAGGCGTCCCGGGTCCATGCACAAAGCACCATGATGAGAGGGGAGTTGGTCTAAACAGTCTTCACGAGACACACTGGGTGGGAGAGAAGTGTGTGAGCCTCCCGGAGGCCGAGCCGATCCACAGGCTGGAAGGGAGATGTTGGAAAACATAGCCAGCCTCCCTTTTTACTTTTGAATGTTTAAGTCTTTTCTTTATTTGCCAGTATTCAAGATAATAAACTGGTTCCCTTCCATCCTTCAAAAATGACAAATTCTTTTAAAATATCATACAAACTCTGAGTTAAACACACTGCGTGGGTTTCAATCCATTGCAATTAATTCATCATAGAAGCGCAATCATCTCCCCTCTGTGGCTGGTGGAGCCTCTTCAAGCTGGTTCCTGAGGCATCTTGATGGCCTCCTCACTATCTGCTGGAACAGGGCACTCCAGGTCATCTTATACACTTCCTGCCCAGACCTAGAGCCAGCCATTCCTCCAAGAAGTCCTGGTTTCCATGAGTGTTTCCAGACCACCATTTGGGTGCTAGGGATGCTCACTGCAATGAGCTTAATCATTAACCGCAGAGTTTTTTCAGTGAACAGAAGTATAAAAATACTTTTTTGTATTTGTATTAGACTCCCCTTTGAGCAATGTGGCACTTGCTTTTGTCTTTTCTGCTGGCCTGTTTCTGAGGCCATCTGTCAGCCACTATTCAGTCATGTCCTTTTTATGAGAACACCCAAGAGAAAGTTCTCTCTCAGTCAGGGGCTAGGAACATTTGCTCCTCTTAGCAATGGGGCTCAACACTGAGCCTGTGGCCGAACCTTCCTCCTGCATGCCTGACAATGACCCTGACCTGGTTGCCATTTGCAAGCACAGGTGCTCTTCTGAGGCCTCATCAACAGCAAGCCTTAATAGGCCTCAAGGGCCTTGAGATACCCACTGCCCCTTGTAAACCAGAGGTTCATGGTAGGGTACGGTTGGAACTTCCAGGGCACCTCAATGAGGAAACACCTTCCTTCCTGGCTCCGTTCTAATGCTCTAGACTTCAAGGTTCACCACTGATCTGCTCAGATGCACAGCCTGCAGCTGGCACCATCACCCCAGAGCAAAAGGGGTTTAGAGGCTGTTATGGCAGACCATACAGTCACTTCAGTCTGTACTCACAGTCAGCATGACATGACCGTGCCAGCCAGCCTAGGCAGAAGTGGCCTAAGACTCCACATGGCTCAGGTGGCACTGAGGTCTCATTCTGATTGTAGACAGGGCTAGAAGCACTATTAGTGCCACCACTGCCACCCTCTGCTCTCCTATACCTCGGGGCCTAGACTTGCTCACCCAAGGCCAATAACCATCTTTCCCTGGGAAGGAAAGTGAACCCTCCAACCTGTATGCTCATACTTCTGGCCCAAACTGGCAGAGACAGGTAGCCTCATTAAGAAATGGCTTTTGGGCCTCAGAAGGTTTGGAGGGCATGTACCCAGACCAGGGAGCCATGGAAGGTCCTCCTCATGTTGAGAGGAAAATGCAAATGAATGCTCACCAAGGATACCCCTGCCCTGGCTGAAGACCAGCCCCCAGAGTGAATGATGGGTCCTACGGCTCCCAAGATGAAACCCACACTTCAGCTCCTCCCCACATCCCTCTTTTACCTCCCCACCCCTCACCTCAGAGGGCCTCACCTGACTGAAGTCCCAAGTACCCCATACTCCTGACCACGCTTCCCTTGCTGATTGTGGATCTGCCCTGGAGCTGGAAGGTGGTGGTAGAAGGAGGGCAGCAGCCCTTGCACCTTACCTTTGATCTCCAGCCACTGCTCATAGTCCTCCTCCTCATCCTCATCGGGAGACTGGAAGACACTTGGGCGGCTGGCCAGGGGCAGCTGCTTAGCATGCACGTAGTTCTTCACCTGACTCAGTGGGCTGCTGATGAGGGGAGGCCTCTTCCCAACACGGGGGAGTACTCGTGGTGGGGCGCTGGGCACACTGGGGGGGGCATCTTGGGAGAGAAGGAAGTATACCTGTGCTCCAGCTGTGCACTGCACCTGTCCCTGTCTTCCTACATAATCTGAGCACCATCAGTCCCTGGGGGCTGGGTCCTCAGCTTCCAGCACAGTACCTGGAGGGTGGTGGGTGCTCAGAGAAGATACCACCCCCATTTTTTTTTTTTTTGGTACATGCCCCTAGTGGGAACCAAACCCGGGACTCTCTGGTCCGCAGGCCAACGCTCTAATCGCTGAGCCAAACCAGCCAGGGCACGACCCCCATTTTATAGATGAGGGCATTTAGGTTAGGAGATGCATGGCTTTTTGGTTATCCAGCCCAGGGTTCTGCAAGCAGCAGCTCTAGGCAAAGGCACCCCACCTCTAAGGCCTGCACTGACAGCCCAGGCACACACCAGCTCTCCTACATATGACTTGAGCCCCACACCCAGCTTACAACCATTTCCTCTGGTTGTCAGTGGTAAACTGGAAAAAGCCTATTCTGGGCTTTTCAAACACAGCTCATGACCCGTGACCCTGCAATAAAGGGCAGTCTGTTCTCCCTCACTGTGGGTGAATTTGGCCTAAACATTTTTTAGCCGTTCCCTAGGAAACCTGACACAGGTCAAAGGTCAGCTGTTTCACCATTAACATTCTTACAGTAAAAATAAGCTCTGACTGGTAAGTTGCACAACCATAGTCAGAGACGAATTCCCTGAGGGCAGTGATTCTCACACCTGGCCTGTCTCATGGACTCCTGTGGGCTAGGCAGCTCCCCACTTATGAAAGGGGGCCCCCAATTCCTCACACCTGAGCTGCTGCTCTGACCACAGTCATGGTCCCACGCCCTGGGCCTGCTTAGTCTTGGTCCCCATGCTCCTGGACTGAAACTAGGTTGTTTCTGCTCCTACAGGGTAAGAACCTTGAGAGCAGGTCTGCACTCTCCCACTGGGTGTTTAGTGTGGAGATGAGTGAAAGAGGGTGCTCAATGAGCTCAGGATAAGAGGGGACAAGTCTGAGGCTGGACCTGCCACTTCTGGGAAGCCAGGGATCCCCAGGAGAGAGCGGGCAGCATGAACATGAGCCTGAGCCTGAACAGGAAGAGACAGGACAGAAAAACTACACTCACCTGCGCTAGTCTGTGCCTTCTGCAACTTCAGAAACTGCTGCAAGAAGCTGCCATCATTGGCAAACTTGTTGGAAACGGAAGAGTTGTGTTCGTTCGTAATTCTACACCCAAGACAGAAGACAGAGAGGGTGAACCTCAAATGGAGGGGCTGGGGCATGCTTTGCCTGTCACAGCTCCACACCACCTGAGTTCTTACCTGGTGGAACCCAAAATCAACCCCCAGAGATGTCTGGGGACTGCTGAGTGCATAGAGCAACCTTCAGAGTAGTAAGTTGGGAACAAGCTTGTTCTAATCAAAGCAATGCTACACATACTGATGTCAACTCTACCAGAATATTGACCCTCCTAGTCCAAATGGCCTCCTCAACTCAGAGCCACCTGCTCTCTTCCTACACAGCCCCTATCCTATCTGCTGTAAACTAATTATTTGGGTTGTTACTGGCTCCCATGTCTGTCTTCTCAGCTAGACTTTAGAATTCTCCAAAGCAGGGCATGTGTATTTGTCTGTGCTGTTTATGACTAGAGTTCTGGGCCTGGGTTGGCCAGCACTTCTGTGAGGATTACACACATACAGGAAAACACCCAAAGCAATCTCTTGGTAGAAGAATTACAGGGGAATTATATATATTTAGTTTTTCTTTTCACAAATGGTACGTTTTATTTTAAAAAACATTAAAAAAAAAAATCAGCACAAAAGCAAACCCAGGGGCCTGAATGTTTAATTCAAATTCATTTTCCCTATTATAAAATAGAGCTAGCTATGAGCAAATGAGAATGTAGAAAAATTGAAATATAGAAAGCAAAGGGAAAAACCCAAATCTTCCCACCTCACAATAGTTACTATTAACACTTTGGTGTATTTCTTTCATTTGCTCCCTGAATTAGAAATAGAAGGAAATAAGGTTGTGATCATGGAATGTGCCCTACTTCTTCCATTTTCTACTATAACATACCATCCTGCACCAACCTTGAAACTCCTCATAGTGTTTCTCAAACTGAGTAACAATCTGTCATACAGACACACCAAATAGTTAATAAAAGCTCAGGGAACCCACAGATGTAGCCTTTTCTCTTTAAAATTAAATTTTACACCTGGCTGGTGTGGTTCTGGTTGAGTGTCGATCCATGCCCCAGGAGATAGCTGGTTCAATTCCCAGTCAGGGCACATTCCCAGGTTGAGGGCCAAATCCTCAGTGGGGGGGCATGCAGAAGGCGGCCAACTGATGTTCTCTAGCATCGGTGTTTCTATCTCTTTCTCCAAAATCAATTTTAAAAAAAGAAAAAATTAAGTTTTACTAGAAATCTGTTCTAAAGAACAAAAAAATGGAAACAACCTAAGCAGTTAACAAGTGGGACTGGTTAAATATTATGGGACATTCAAAGGGCAGATGGAGCAGCCATGAAGAGTTAAAATTTCAAAGACAAAGCAATTAAGTACAACATTAAATGAAAATCAAAAGGGCACACTGTTAACAATATTTACAGCATGGTTGTACTTATGTCAAAATATAATTGAACTTAAAATTGTTAAAAACGCTGCCTTACCTGGGTGACTTGGTTGGCGCATCATACTATACACCAAAAAGGTCATGGGTTTGAGTACTGCTCAGGGCACAGATGAGAGGCAATCTATTGATGTTTCTCACACCAATGCTTCTCTCTCTAAAAATCAATTTAAAAAAATATCCTCAGGTAAAAAGAGATAAAAAAAATTGTTAGAAAAACCTATCCAAAGGTAACCAGCACCCATCTTTGGGTTGCAGGATAATGACTAATTTTATTTTTGTTTGTTTATTTATTAAACTGTCTAAAATCAAGTCATGGTGGGTAGTCACGTCCTAGGCAGGTATATGGTTTTTTTTTTTCCTTTATTGGTTTAGAGAGGAAGCGAGAGGGAGAAGAGATCGAAACATCAATGAGAGAGAACATCCATTGGCCGCCTCCTGCATGCGCCCCACTGGGGATCTGGCCCACAACCCGGGCGTGTGTCCTGACCAGGAATTGATCCGGTGACCTCTTGGTGCATGGGTCGATCGATGCTCAACCACTGAGCCACACTGGCCAGACTAATTTTGTTTTTGTTTTTTAAATCCTCACTGGAGGATACTTTTCTATTTATCTTCAGATAGAATGGGAGGCAGGGAGGGGAGAAGAGAGAGAGAGAAACATCTATGTGAGAGGGACACATCAACTGACTGCCATTCACATGACCCCAACTGGGGCTGGGACGAACTGCAAATGAGGTAAGTGCCCTTGCCAGAATGAAACCTGGGACTCTTTGGTCTGCAGGCCAACCCTCTAACTGCTAAGCCAAACTGGCCAAGGCTAAATGTTTTTTTAAAAATTGATTTTTTGAGAGGAAGGGAGAGAAAGAAACATTGATGTGAGAGAAAAACAGATCAGCTGCCTCCTGCATGCCCCTCATTGGGGATCGAGCCCCCAACATGGGCATGTGCCCTGGCCAGGAATAGAACCAGGAACTCTCAGTCCATGGGACAATGCTCAATCCACTGAGCCACATTGGCTGGGCTCATGATTAATTTTGGTTTTTCCTCATTTTCCTCTCTTCTATTATTCAGACTTTCTACCATGTTTATGAGTTATCTTTAACGTTTTTTATTTTTAAATATGATTTTTAGAGAAGGGGGGGAAGGTAGTGGGGGGAGAGAACGAAACATCAATGAGAGACAAACATCGATGGCTGCTTCCTGCATACCCCCTAACAGGGATCACACTCACAACCCGGGCTTGTTCCATGACAGGTAATTGAACCTGTGACCTCCTGATGCATGGGATGACACTTAACCAACTTAGCCACACTGACTAGGGCCCTTTAACATTTTTTTAAAAGGCATTAAGCAGCCCTGGCTGGTTTGGTCCAGCGGTTAGAGCGTCGGCCTGCAGTTCAGAGACACCCGGGTTCGGTTCCCCCTAAGGGCACATACCTCGCCCTGGTTGGTTGTGCGGGTGGCGGCCACTCGATGTGTTCCTTTCACATCAATGTTTCTCTCTCTCTCTCTCTCTGTGTTCCTCTCTTTCCCTCCCACTCTACCTGAACAAAAAATGGAAAATGTCCTCGGGTGAGGATTAAAAAAAAAAAAGGCATTAAGCAATGGCCGGGTGGGTCAGTTGAGCATGGTCCCATGTACTAAGAGGTTTCAGGTTCAGTCTCTGGTTGGGATGCTTATGGGACGTAACCAATCAATGGTTCTCTCTCATAATGATGCTTCTCTCCTCTCTCTCTCTCTCTAAAAAAATCCAATAAAGAAAACATTTTAAGCCCTGGCCAGTTTGGTTCAGAAGTTAAAGCACTGGCCTGGGGACCAAGGGGTTGTGGGCTCGATTCTGGTCAAGGGCATGTACCCAAGTTGAGGTTCGACCCCCAGCCCTGGTCGGAGTCTTGTGGGAGGCAACCAATCAATGTGTCTCTCGCATGATGATTTTCTCTCTCTCTCTCTCTCTCTGTCCCTCCCACACTTTCACTAAAAAAAAAGTTATTTTATATGAAGGAAAAGATTCTGCTGATAATCAGCCTTGGTATTAAACAAGCATAGCATTCTGGTGACCCTGGCTATGTCCTCAACTGTGTGCACCTCCCTCTGGAGTGAGGGGAAGAAGGTGAGGATGATGAAAGACAAGAAAAGACTTCAGGGCAGTAGTGACCCAGTAAATGAATCCCACTTGTAAACCACCCGAAAAAACCAATGATAGGGATATTATGCAGCTGTTCGAAAAGCTGGCTCTTGATAAACATAAAATGTGGCCCATCTACAATGGAATATTATTTGGCCATAAAAAGGAATAAAGCTCTCACACTACAATGTGAAGAACCTTGAAAGCACTATGTCCAGTAAAAGAAATCAGACACAAAAGTCCACCTATTATATAAAATATCTAGACTAGGTAAATCTATGAAGACAAGGAGTGAGGTTTCTTTCTGGAATTAGATAGTAGTGATAGTTGCACAATGCTGTGAGTATGCTAAAAATCATTAAATTGTACGGTTTAAAAGATCAATATTACGGCATGTGAATTATATCTCAATAAGAATAAATAAAAATTAAAAACTATGACGACTCTGAAGAGTTGTAATTTAGGGAAAAGCTTTTCTTTTAAAAAGTTGGGGGTGGGGTGTCATGGTCAGGTGGCTTGGTTGGTTGGAGCATTGTCCTATACACCACAAGTTTGCAGATTTGATTTCCAGTCCCGGCACATATATCTAGTTTGTGGGTTAGGTCTCAGTTGGGGCATGTATTGAAGGCAACCGATCGATGTTTCTCTCTCATATTATAGTTTTTCTCTCTCACATCAATGTTTTTCTCTCTTGCCCTGGCCAGTTTGGCTCAGCGGTTAGAGCGTCGGCCTGCGGTCCGGAGAGACCCGGGTTCGGTTCCCGCTAAGGGCACGTACTTCGGTTGCAGTTTGTCCCCGGCCCTGGTTGGTCATGCGGGTGGCAGCCACTCGATGTGTCCCTTCACATCGATGTCTCTCTCTCTCTCTCCCTCCCACTCTATCTGTACAAAAAATGGAAAAATATCCTCGAGTGAGGATAAAAAAAAAAATAATGTTTTTCTCTCTCCTTTCCTCTCTCTCTAAAATCAATAAAAACATATCCTCGAGTAATTAAAAAAAAAAAAAAAAGGAACCCAGCTAGTATGGCTCAGTGGTTCAGCATCGACCCATGCACTAAGAGGTGGCTGGTTCAATTCTGGTCAGGGCACATGCCCAGGTGTGGGCCCAATCCCCAGAGGGGGCATGCAAGAAGTGGCCAATCGATATTTCTAAATCTTTCTTCCTCTCCCTTCCTCTCTCTCTACAATTAATTAAAAAAAAAAGAAAGAAAGAAAGAAAGAAAATGCCAAGTAGCTCAGTTGATCAGAGCATCATCCTGATATGGCAAAGTTATGGGTTCAATCCCCAGTCAGGCACATTCAAGACTCAGCCAATGAATGCATAAATAAGTAGAACAACAAATCGATGTTTCTCTCTCTCTTCCTTAAATCAATTAATAAATAAAAATTTTAGAAAGTAGTGGGGTGGGAAAGCAGTACAAAATTGATTACAACTTCATAAAACAAAGTGAAGACACAGGAAACAAATTTTGTCAAAATGGTTGTTTTGAGGCACCTTTCATATTTATTTTACCTTTTTTTTTTTTATCCTTACCTGAGGACATTTTTCCATTTTTTGTTCAGATAGAGTAGGAGGGAGGGAGAAGAAGAGAGAGAGAGAGAGAGAAACACGACCAACCAGGGCCGGGGACAAACTGCAACCGAGGTATGTGCCCCTAGTGGAAACCGAACCCGGGTCTCTCTGGACCACAGGCTGACGCTCTAACCGCTGAGCCAAACTGGCCAGGGCTTATTTTACTTTTATTTTTTTGTTAATGCTCACCCAGGAATGTGTGTTTGTGTGTGTTTGGGTGTGTGTATATATATATATATATATATATTTTGTTGTTGTTGTTGTTTTTATTGTTTTTAGACAGAGTGGAAGGGAGGGAGAAAGAAAGAGAAACATTGACATGAGAGAGACACATCGATTGGTTGCCTCCCACATGACCCTAACTGGGGCCAGGGATTGAACGTGCAAACCAGGTACGTGCCCTGAACCCATGACCCTTCTGTCCTCAGGCCAACACTCTAAGCTATGAGCAAAGCCAGCTAGGGTCCTCAGTAAGAAATTTCAAATGTTGGTGTCCTGTGCTTTTATTTGCATAGCTACCTATACCATACACCCACCCACCTGTTACCTGATATTTCCTTTCAGTTGCCTGATCCTGGAGCTGTGATCCACCAGCCTCCAGGAGACCCTCCTGGATGCGATCTTACAAGGCCTTTCCTATCTTGGTGTCTATCTTGGTGTAAGTCCTTCCATAAACCCCATGGGTGAGAAAACTCAACATCCAGTCCTCATGTTCCTGGGTGCCCTGGAGGTGGCAGACCCTGGGTTCCAACAGGGATATGGTCTAAATACTGCCTTTAAGGAGAAACCACAGACTTTTAGAAAAGGTGGAAGCTTTCTTTGCCTTGCATAGTTTGGCTCAGCAGTTGGAAGGTTGGTCTGTGGACTGACGGGTTTCAGGTTTGATTCCTGGTCAAGGGCATATACCTTGGTTGCAAATTCGATCCCTGGCCCTGGATGGAGTCATGTCAGAGGCGACCAGTCAATGTGTTTCTCTCATGTAGATTTCTCTCTCTCTCCCCCTTTCTCCTAAAAATCAATGGAAAAATGTCCTCCGGTGAGGATTGACAAGAAACAAACAAAAGGTGGGAGTTGGGAAAGAACTTTGTGAAGACTTAACAGGATTCATACTTCAGACCACACAGAAAGGGGGTTACCTCTCTGATTATCAATCTCTAGTCTGAAATTCTTAGATCTTGTCACTCTGATCATACCACCCCTGCTCAAAACTTCTGGGTGCCTGGTGTTTCTCAGGGTAGGCAGAAGGAAACTCTGCCTGGCCCTGGCACAGCCCCTGGGCCTGACACATGGGAGGCTCTCTTCTTGCTTTCTGCCAGCAGGCCTTTCCCTGCTTCTTTAATAGGCTGGCTTTGCCTTGGCCTTTAGAATGCAAAGTCTCTTCTGCACCGCGACAGTGGGAACACACTGCCTGTTACCCACCAGCAGCTCTGGGGGTAGAATTGGTACCTCCTTTACTAGTAGACTGTGAGGCCCATAAAGGCAGAGACAAAGTCTGGGTTTTTGTTCTGTGCCTATACCTCTGACCCCTGGACCACAGGATGTCAGTAGTAAATAACTGCTGAGCAAAAGAGTTGGCAGGCCATCCGCTTGGCTCCCATGCACCCCTTGTGTCTCTTCTGACATACTAAGCCTCCTAAAAGAGAATATCTGTGTCACTCTTTGCACCATCAGGCTGTGACTGGGTGCAGAAATACCATGACTGCTCTTATAAGCAAAACCCTCTGCCTGTTACCCTCTAAGACCCAATCCAGCCTCAGAGTGCACTTACTCGCCAGGATGCGGGGGCTGAGGACTGGCCACCTGATTCTGCTTTGCTTTCTGCTCCATTCTGGCTTCAATTTCCCGTTTCTTCTGAGCAATGAGCTCTTCCTGGTGAAGGATGTTCATGTTCATTTTTCCAGACTTGGGAGGAGCAACCCCAAACCACCGGTTAGCCTTTCCTGGGGAGAGAAAAGAAACACATCAGAAATCACCTTTGCTACACAAATATGCATGCAGCAACTGACATTCACACATCCGTTTGTTTATTTATTCAGCAAGCATTTACCGAGCTATTTACCAGGTGCTGTGATAGGTGCTAAATAAGAGAGACAGGGCCTCTGCCCATGTGGGACTCAGGTCTGGCTAGGGAGACAGACTTGTAACAAAGAAGTAGCTGCCAGCCCAGCCAATGTGGCTCAGTGGATTGAACATCGTCCCATGGACTGACAGGTCCCAGTTCGATTTGTGGTCAGGGCACATGCCCAGGTTGTGGGCTCCATCCCCAGTGGGGGACATGTAGGAGGCAGCCGATCAATGTAGCTCTCTCACATTGATGTTTCTGTTTCTCTCTCCCTTCCTTTCTCTCTAAAAAAAAAAAAAAAAAATCAATAAAAATATATGTATTTTTTAAAAGTAGCTGCCAAATCATAAGAGTTCTATGCTGGAAATAAAAAAAAGAGTGGGGAAGAATAATACAGAGACCCTATAGCTAGGGCAGCTAGAAAATAACCATTTGAAGAGAGAGCAGTACCAGAAAGATAAAGAGCCAGACTCCTGAAAAGCCACACAGGGAACAATTTGGGCAGAGTAAGCGCAGATGCAAAAACCAAAGGTTGGATGAAGCCTGATGCATCCAAGGACCAGCGAGGATCCAGTGTGGCCTGAGTGAATTGTTCCAGGAATGAGGGTACAAGAAAGGGAGTCTAGATTTTACTTTACGGTCTTTGGGAAATGTCAGAGAGTATTAAGCTGACATATCCAGTAGGTATTTTTATTTTTAAAATCATTCTGGCTACTGTTTGGAGAGAGTACGTAGGCAGCAAGAAGACCAACGAAGATGCTCTCTGGCTCCAAACAAAAGATGACAGTGTCTTCAGACATGGGCATTAGCTGTAGAGATAGAGAAGACACCTTAAAGTTTCCCCAAGGGACTTGGAGTAAAATCCAAACCCCGAAAATTGATTTTGAAGGCCCTGCCAGAGATGGCCCCCTCCCCACTCTTGACATTCTTCAAAACCGCAAGCCAGTCCCCAATCCCAAGGCCTTTGCACTTGCGATCCCTTCATGTGGAAGGCTCTACCCTCCCAGGCCTCCCTCATCTCAAATGTCTTCTATTCATAAAAGCCTTCTTTGACCACCCAATTATCAGCAGCCTCCAGGCTCACTCTCTCACATTATAACACACTCTCTCTCTGTAAATATTTCCTCTTGATACATTGTCTGACACCCAGTGAAAAATAACCTTCAGGAAGGCAGGGCTCTGTTTTGATCACCACTGCATGCCCAGCACAGTACCTGGCACACAGTATTTGCTTAATAGGTGAATGCACCCAGTTTGGGGTGGCTAGGGCTGGAAGAGATAAGGAAGGACAAGGCTTATGGTAAAGAGGCTCGAAAGACTCAGGAATTTGTGTGAGTATCCAGGAATGTCTGAGAGAAGATCAGAAAACCCGCTTTTCAAGAAAGCAGCACAGGCCAGATGCCAGTTGCTACGAAGAGGCGCAGAACAGCCCACGGTTGCTGCAGTTTCGGGGAGCGGAAATCGGAGGAGCCCTGAAGGTGTTTTTATTGGAAAGCGGACGCAGGGCAGACCCCGTGTCCGTCTTTACCGAAGTCAGGCGCCCGCAGCAAACCAGGCCCGGGGTCGGGGGCAGCAATTGGGAATGGGATCTTGGTAGGTGGGGGAGATGCAAAACCCGCCGCTTTGGGCAGCCCAGAGGCTGAGGCGAGAGGCCGGCGGGTTGGGGCAGGCTCGTCCCGAGGACGAAACGACGATACGTAGCTCGGAGGACCCGGGCACACACTTGAAAGAAGGAGGGAGCTGTTACCTGCAACATCCCGGTTGTCCATCTTGAGACTCACCCAATCCCACAATGCTCCGGCGCCACCTGAAAGAGGCGTGTTATAGTGCGCATGGCCTAATGGGAGATGTAGTCTGCGTTGGCCAGCCACGCCCAGCCACTGCGGGAAGACCTGGGGCCTTTTGTCGCAGGAACGCAAACCTCAGCCTATCGGCAACGTGTGGGCTCAGTTCCGCGGACCAGAAGGCGTCATCTTTACACACACCTTCCGGTAGTCGCAGCCACTCCGAATACAAACTACATGTTCCAGGATGCTTTGTGCGGCAGCTATCGCGAGAGACGCGAGGAGTGCCCGGCCACGCCCCATGCGCCGGCTTCCGCCTCCCTGTGGCGGCGGCTTGTTGTTGTGGAGGCCAAAATGGCGGCTCAGGCGGCGGCAGCGGCCCAGGCGGCCGCGGTCCAGGCGGCGCAGGCCGAGGCGGCCGAGTCATGGTACCTGGCACTTCTGGGCTTCGCGGAGCACTTCCGCACGTCTAGCCCACCCAAGATTCGTCTGTGTGTGCACTGCCTGCAGGCTGTGTTCCCCTTCAAGCCACCACAGCGCATTGAGGCCCGCACGCACCTGCAGCTCGGCTCAGTGCTCTACCACCACACCAAGAATAGTGAGCAGGCGCGCAGCCATCTGGAGAAAGCGGTGAGCGCGGGCCGGACCGCGAGGGAGGAGCGCGGGCTCTTTTAGGGGCCTGAGCTGACAGGCCGCGACTACAGCGGGCGAGGACCGCCCGGGCCGCTTCTCGGGGACCTGGGGTGCGACTTCCGCATGAGCGGCAGGACCCCGAAGCCGCCAGCCTCTCGGGTGACCTGAGGGCCTCGCCCTGTACATTATTTAACGTCTCTGGTGACAGGCAAAGTCCAGGGCCCCGTTCCTCTGAGGAGCAACAGGGTCTCCAAATTCTTCAGGTTTTCCGTAGTAGATGACATGTTGGTACCTATGGAGACGTCCCCAGATTGCCGGTGGGTCCTGCAGCTTCCAGCTTCTCAGGGCTCAGCCCCGGAAGTATCAGCCTGAACACTCCCTCCTGAAGTGACTCGGAATAGTGGAGAGTCGAGGTGACAGCCCAGACATCCCTTGGGAATCAAGTTTGGTCTCTTAGAAAACCTAGGAAAGCATTCTCTCCCTGGACCTGGAAGTCTGATAAGTGTCTGGAGGGTATTATGCCCCCATCAGTGATTCGGGGAGTCATAGGTGGGAGGTAGAGGCCCAGAGCCTAGAATTCGGCATTTTAAGTCCTATAAGGAGGAGAAATGGGGGGTGTATGGGGGGTGGATTCCAGGACAAGTTACTCAGTACCGGGGGTTGCTTTCTCTGTATTCACCCGGTGACTTCTCTTCCTCTCACCATCCACTAGTCCATCCCCTTCAGAGGGCAGGCCCCCCTCGCACCCCACATCTTGACTTGTGTGAGATCTTGGTGCTTCAAAGAATCTGGCTGTGGCATTTTTCTTCTCACAGTGACAATGAATTCCTGTCAGACTGTGCCTTCATTTGCCATTTACTCTTTCATTCTGATTAAAGGAGAACTTTTCGCGTAGAATCAACTTAGATTTTTAAAATGTATTGATTTTAGGTAAGTCTGAACCCACCCATGGCTGGTAACAAGTTGCCTTTGGGAGGATACCAGATCTTTGTTGTGTATACTGTAAAGAGTTAGAAGGGGGCCCTGGCCTGTGTGGCTAAGTTGGTGGAGCATCATCATCCCATCCCAGTCGGCAAATGCCAGGGTTTGTGGGCCCAATCCCCAGTAGGAGGCAAGCAGTAGGCAGCTGATGGGTGTTTCTATCTCTCTCCCTCTCCCATCCTGTCTCTCTAAAATTAATAAAAACATTAAAAGTTTTTAAAAATAGTTTTTCTATACCCCTGGCTGGTTTGGTTCAGTAGTTAGAGTGTCAGCCCATGGACCAGGGAGGCTTGGGTTTGGTTCCTGCTAGGGGCACATGCCTCCGTTGCAGTTTGTGCCCCCCCCTCATAGGGTTGTGTGGGTGGCAACCACTCCATGTGTCTCTCTCACATCGTTGTTTCTCTTTCTTTCTCCCTCTGTCCCTCCCGCTCTATCTTAAGATAAATGCAAAAAAAAAAAAAAAGTCCTCAGGTGAGGATTAAAAAATAATAATAATAATTTTTCAATATTGATTTTAGAAAGAGGGAGAGAGATGGAGACATTGATGAGAGAACATCGATTGCCTACCTCCTGCATGCCTCTCACTGGGGATCTGACCCACAACCTGGGTATGTGTCCTTGCCGGGAGTCAAACTGGCGACCTCTTGGTGCATGTATTGACCCTAAACCACTGAGCCAAGCGACACCAGCTGAGCATAATAAAAACATTTTTTTAAAAGTGAGTTGGAAAGGGACTTTAATCCTTGCTTGATCAATGTCCTTGTTTCAAGAGTGAGATGGTAAGGGCCCAGAGAAGTAAAGTGATTTGGCCAAAACCATGCAGCAAGTTATTAACAAAATTGAGTTCAGCCCTGGCCAGTTTGGTTCAGTGATTAGAGTGTCGGCCTTGGACCAGTGAGTTGCAGGTTTAGTTCCAGTTAAGGGCACGTACCTCGGTTGTGATTCGTCCCAGCCCTGGTTGGGGTTGTGCGGGAGGCAGCCAATCGATGTGTCCCTTTCGCCTCGATGTTTCTCTCTCTCTCTCTCTCTCTCTCTCTCTCCCTCTCTCTACCCCCCCTTCCTCTCTCTCCCTCCCACTCTATCTGAACAAAAATGGAAAAATGTCCTTGAGTGAGGATCAAAAAACAAAATTGGGTTCAAACCTAGGCTCAAGATCACCAGATTCCATGCCAAGACAGTAAGTTGTTATTATTCTTGTAAAGTTCTATTCTTTTAGTCATTTGGCACTTACTTATTCAGTCCGGGTTCCAAACTCTCTTCTGAGGATCAGGAGTAACTAAAACAGCCCCTGCCCACATAAGCTTATGTTTAAGTGAGGGAGACAAATAATGAATGTGTATGTTGTAGGAGGTTAGGCAGTGAAAGAACCATGAAAAATATGGACCAGCGGAAGAGATGGAGTTGGCGAGGAGCTATTTTTGACAAAGGTAGCAAGGGAGTCTCTATTTGAGCAAAGCCTTAAATGGTGTAGAGGAAGTGAGTCTGGAGAAATGCTTGGGGTGTCAGGTGATTCCCAAGGAGTGCCTGAACTGTCAGTGGTTTGTAAGTAGTTTGTGTCAGGGTCTCCCTTGGGCAGTGATGAGGCTGAGATCAAATGAAGCACCAGGCTTTCTTGGGTGTGGAGTAGCTGGAGACTGACTCCTAGGACCTGGGCCCAGTGCCTTCAGTGGATGCTCCTGTTCTGAAGTTTTCCTTTTCTCTCTTTTTTTTTTCAAATTCTCACTGGACATTTTTCCATATGTTGTTCAGATAGAGTAGGAGGGAGAGAGAGAGAAACATCGACATGAAAGGGATACATCGAGTGGTTGCCACCCGCACGACCCAACCAGGGCCAGGGACAAACTGCAACCGAGGTACGTGCCTTTAGCGGGAACCGAACCCGGGTCTCTCTGGACTGCAGGCAGACGCTCTAACCGCTGAACCAAACCGGCCAGGGCCTCCTTTTCTCTTGATAAACAATAAATCTTGCCATCTCCCTTCCCTTGTCTCAGAAGCCATTTTTCTAGCAATGGTTCATAGTCACTGTGTATGTCATTGCGTTTTGGTTACTTAGTGCTGTTGAGGGAAAATAGCCATGCCTCACAATACTTCCTTGTAGCCATTTGACTTTGGGCCCGTAATTTTAAACCCTTATCTTTTTATTTATTTATTAAAAATTTTTTTCTTGCCCTGGCCGGTTTGGCTCAGCGGTTGGAGCGTCGGCCTGCGGTCCGGAGAGACCCGGGTTCGGTTCCCGTTAAGGGCACGTACTTCGGTTGCAGTTTGTCCCCGGCCCTGGTTGGTCGTGCGGGTGGCAGCCACTCGATGTGTCCTTTCACGTCAATGTTTCTCTCACTCTCTCTCTCTTCCTCTCTCTCCCTCCCACTCCATCTGTACAAAAAATGGAAAAAAAAAATTTTTTTTTCTTTATTGATTTTAGAGAGAGAGGAAGGTAGAGGGAGAGGGAGATAGAAACATTGATGAGAGAGAACATCGATTGGCCACTTCCTGCATGCCTGCCACTGGGAATTTGGCCCACAACCTGGGCATGTGCCCGCACTGGGAAATGAACCTGCGACCTCTTGGTGCATGGGTCAATGTTTAACCACTGAGCCACACCAGCTGGGTATCCTTTTATTTTTTAATGGATTTTTTTATAGAGAGAGACAGAGACATCAATTTGTTGTTCCACTTATTTATGCATTCATTGGTTGATTTTTTTGTATGTGCCCCAACTGGGGATTGAACCAGGAATCTTAATGTACCCAGTTGACGCATTAACCAACTGAACTACCCGGCCAGGGTTAAACCCATATTCTTGTGAAGTGGCTTCCCTTTATTTTATAGAACCCTGAATCTTATGGAGTCTTCCACAGGGCCACAAGGTCACACAGAGCTCACACTCATATTATACCTGGAAATCCCTTTTTTTCTGTTAGTTGCATCCCCAGCTAGGAATTTGTTCAGATTTCAATTAAAGTGCAGTTTTCCATGCTGTTTTCTTTCTGCAATTTTTTGTGATCTCTCTTTTTTTTTTTTAATCCTCACCTGAGGACATTTTTCCATTTTTTATACAGATAGAGTGGGAGGGAGAGAGAGGAAGAGAGAGAGAGAGAAACATTGACATGAAAGGGACACATCGAGTGGCTGCCACCCACACAACCAACCAGGGCCGGGGACAAACTGCAACCGAAGTACGTGCCCTTAGCGAGAACCGAACCCGGGTCTCTCTGTACCGCAGGCCCATGCTCTCACCGCTGAGTCAAACCGGCCAGTGCATGATCTCTTTTTGTATTGCAATTTAAGCATGCTTTTTTAAAATCTTTATCACTTGCGCATTTTTTCCAAATCAGACAGCTATCAACTTTTATTCTTTCCTTTTCCAGATTCACTTAGTAGAGAATCATAGTATGGCCCTAGCTGGTTTGGCTCAGCAATTAGAACGCTGGACTGCAGACCAAAGGGTTGTGGATTCGAAACCTGGTCAAGGCCATGTACCTGGGTTGCAGGTTCGATCCCCAGCCCCAGTTGGGGTCGTGTGGGAGGCAACCAGTCAATGCGTCTCTCTCACATAGATGTTTCTCTTTCTTTCTCCCTCCCTCCCTTCCTTCCACTCTATCTAAAAATCAATGGAAAAATATCTTTGGGTGAGGATTAATCAAAAAACAGAAAGAAAAAATAATCATTATATGTTTTCCTTTTATTTGCTTACTTATTTTTAATTTATTTATTTATTTTTTTTCCATCCTCACCTGAGGACATTTTTCCATTTTTTGTACAGATAGAGTGGGAGGGAGGGAGAGGAAGAGAGAGAGAGAGAAACATCAACGTGAAAGGGACACATGGAGTGGCTGCCACCCGCACGACCAACCAGGGCCGGGGACAAACTGCAACTGAGGTACATGCCCTTAGCGGGAACCGAACCCAGGTCTCTCTGGACCGCAGGCCGACGCTCTAACCGCTGAGCAAAACCGGCCAGGGCTATTTTTAATTTTTACTTATTGATTTTAGAGAGAAGGGGGAAGGGGGGGAGAGAGAGAGAGAAACATTGATTTGTTGTTCCATTTATGCATTTATTGGTTGATTCATATATGTGCCCTGGCCAGGGATCAAACCCACAACTTTGGCATATTGGGATGATTCTCTAACCAACTGACCTACCCAGCCAGGGCCAATATTTTCTTCTTTTAGAGGTGGTTTGCTAATTTCTAGTCCTGAAGAGCAAATAGCCAAAGAGATTACAATTTCCTTTTAGGGAATCAACCTAGAATAACAAAAAAAAAAAATTCTTTTTTTTTAAGGTAAATGACTCTCAGGTACTTTGTGACTAATTTCTCCTTGAACATTTCCCCTGGTGTTCTTCCCTAAAGGAATTTCTCTAATTTATAAATGCTGTAGGTAAAACTTTTTTTTTTTTAATTCTCACCCTAGGACATTTTTGCACTTATCTTCAGATAGAGTGGGAGGGAGAGAGGGAGAAAGAGAGAGAGAAACATCGACATGAGAGAGACACATTGAGTGGTTGCCACCCACACAACCCCAACTGGGGCCAGGGACAAACTGCAACCAAAGTACATGCCCCTAGGGGGAACTGAACCTGGGCCTCTCTGGTCCGCTCTAACCGCTGAGCCAAACTGGGTGGGGGGTATATCCTCACCAGAGAATATTCATCCATTGATTTTTTTTTTATCCTCACCCGAGGACATTTTTCCATTTTTTGTTCAGATAGAGCGGGAGGGAGAGAGAGGAAGAGAGAGAGAGAGAGAGAGAGAAACATCGACGTGAAGGGACACATCGAGTGGCTGCCACCCGCACGACCAACCAGGGCCGGGGACAAACTGCAACCGAGGTACGTGCCCTTAGCAGGAACCGAACCCGGGTCTCTCTGTACCGCAGGCCGACGCTCCAACCGCTGAGCCAAACCGGCCAGGGCAATTTTTTTTTTTTTTAAGAGAAAGAAACATCAGTGTGAGAGAGACATCAATTGGTTGCTTCCCGCACAACCCCAACTGGGTCCTGGGACTGAATCTGCAACCCAGGTACACGCCCTTGACGGGGAATCAAACCCTAGACCCCTTAGTCCATGGGCCGATGCTCTAACCATTGAGTCAAACTGGCCAGGGCACACTCTAGGTAAAACTTTTAATTAGCCTCTAAACTTAATACACTCAGCTTCCCTGTTATTTTCATTTTCTTTTGCTTTCTCTCTTAGAGACCCTAACCTCCTTAGTAATCACATTTTTAAAATATAAGGTTATATTATTTACTCTTTTGTGTACTTAATGTCAGTTTCTAACTGCTTCCTTAACTTCATTTGTAAACTTTATAGAAGGAATATATAATATTCTTACCCATTTGCTTTGTTAATTCTACCAACTTTGAAAGAATCATCTGTTAAGTGTTCACCTCAGAGGCATGGAGGGTGTTTCTTCCTTTTCTCAGCAGCTTTGTTGAGGTTGAAGCTGTTGGTCTCAGTGGCACTTGCCTCTGCAGACCCTCGGAGCTTCTGCTGGCTGCCTCATTTCCTGGATTTGCTCAGCAGATCGATCCTGTAGCTATTATGGTGCATGACAGGACCCTTTATACGACATACTTCCTTCTTTGACTATGGTTTTGGCAGTGATGTGGATGTGTTGTCAGAATTCTCGGCTGCTCTGAGATTCCTTCAGTAAATAGTTCATGATTATAAAGGATGTCCCTTTACTCAGAAATCACTTTTTTTTTTTTAAAGAATAGTTTATTGAGCCTGGCCGATGTGGCTCAGTGGTTCAGAATCGACCCATGCACCAAGAGGTCACTGGTTCTTTTCCCGGTTAGGGCACATGCGCAGGTTGTGGGCCCAATCCCCAGTGGGGGGCATGTAGGAGGCGGCCAATCCATGTTTTCCCTCATCGATGTTTTTATCTCTCCCTTCCTCTTGTCTCTAAAATCAATAAAGAAAAAAAATAGTTTATTGATTTTTTTTTTTTTTTTTTTTTTTTTTTTTTTAGATAGAGGGGAAGGAAGAAGAAGAGAGAGAAACATCCTTGTGAGAGTACAACATTGGTTGGCCGCTTCCTGCATGCTTCCCACCAGGGACCAAGGAGAAACCCAGTCATGTGCCCTTAACTGGGAATCCAACCAGCAACCTTCTAATGCACAGGACAACGTCCATCCAACTGAGCCACACTAGTCAGGGCAGAAATCTGGCTAGAGAGTTTTCGAGGCTGTTTCTGCAGTTTCTGTCAGATTGTGTTCCTTTACATTTCATTTTCACCATACTATCTTTCCTCTTGCTACACATTTATTCCTGTGTGAATTTTAAGTCTTCCTTATTTCCACACAAACAGACAGTTCCATTTCAGTAATTTGCACATTCTTCCTTAACTTTCTTACTTTTTATCACATTAGAATGTCTGTCTGCAGACCAATAAGTCGCAGGTTCAATTCCAGTCAAAGGCATGTACCTCAGTTGCAGTTCGTCCCTGACCCTGGTCGGGTTGTGCAGGAGGCAACCTGTTGATGTGTTGCTCTCATGTTGATGTTTCTCTCTCTCCCCCTCCTTCTGATGATAAATAGAAAAAATATCCTCAGGTGAGGATTAAGAAAAAAAAAAAGCCACAGAGAAATAGATGCTTCTCCTCTGGAATAATTATTTGTTATTTGCTATAATCCAGCAGTCGTTCAATATACAGTCGTCTCTCTGGCTACAGTATCCATGTTAAGGCTGTGTTTACTTTCTCTTTGCTTTTGGAATAGAGCTGCTTTTTAGTGGTGGTTTTACTCATCTGACTTAGAAAGCAGCTACTGCCGTCCAGACACTGTTAATTCTGCTTCCAGGTTAAGCCTGACAGTCTCTGGTTTACCTTCCCAACAAGTAATCAAATTCTTTCCTTTCTCTTTTGAAGGCCTGAAAGGGCTCATTGGTGAGCCTTTCATCATCAGGCACAGCTAGAGCAGATCTGTCATCCTTAAATGATCATGACTATGTCCTGCTAAGTTCCATGCCCCATTGACCAGGAATAGAATCTTTTTTTTGTAACTCTTTTTTTTTCCTTTATTGATTTTAGAAAGGAAGAGAGAGAGAGAGAAATTTCGATGAGAAAGAACATCGATTGGCTGCCTCCTGCATGCCCCCCACTGGGGATTTGACCTACAACCTGGTCATGTGCCCTGACCGGGAATCGAACTGGCAACCTCGGTGCATGGGTTGAGGCTCAACCACTGAGCCATACCGGCCAGGCAGGAGCAGACTCTTGAGTAGAAGCTGCATTTACAGAGCTTGATGTTAAGTCTTTTCATGAAAGAGTGATCTATGCATCCCCATTTTCATTTCCATTTTCTTTCCTCTCGCTCTCTGAGTCTCCTCTGACTTCAGGATTTGAAATCTGTGTAGGAACCATCACTTCACAGTTCACCAACTCACCCCTTGCCTCCCTTCCAACCCTCGATTTTTCTTGTTCCTGCCTAGGAACTACCATAGTATTGTTGGTACCTTCTACATGCCAGACCATGTGTTCATGCTTCTTGGGACACTATCTTATTGGATCCTCAACAAACCTACAAGATGGAGACCACTTCCAACTTGCTACAGACAGGAGGATGCTCATAAACATGGTCACACAGCAGAAAGAGGCAAGGCTGACTCCTCAGTACTATGCTTCCATCCCAAAGGAGTTGCAGTCAATAACTATTTGTACACATTTTGTTTTTTAAAACCTGATATTTATGTTTCTACAGGCCTCCCCACAGCTCAGGGTCTCTCACTTGGGTGGCTTTCCCTTCACTGGGAAGGAAACATAAAAGCTGTTTTTTAATGTTACAAAGTAAAACTTACAGATGAGGTAGCAACTTTGGGTAAGGTAGCAACCTTGGTACTTCATTTATGAGATGCATATATTACTGATGTGTGTATGTTTCTGATTTGAGATCTTAGGTTGCAAGTGTTAAAAAGAAATAAAAGCAAAGTCATCTGATTGGTGTGTGGCCGACAGTCAGTCAGAGGAAGTGACTGGCTTGCCCTGACACTGAGCTAGTTCTTTAGCTTCTAGCTTTGGAACTGGGTCATCGTGAATGATGGCTCAATGTGTCACTGACACTGATGCCTGGACACAAAGCAGTGATGTTTGAATGGAGCTATCTAATGTCATTTAGGAATTAGGCCTTTGTGTTTGAAATCATAAGCCTCAGTTCTGTGGCAATTTGCATTTAAGGAAGCTCTCATTTCTTAGTGATGCTAGATGAAGTTGTCATTCATGTGCCAAATGTTTCCTAAGCACCTCCTGTGTGTTGGCCTGTTCCAGGAACTGGGGATACAATACCATGAGGAGGCACATCATAAGGCTTTATCTAACATCTCTCATTTGTGTATGTTTAAAGCACATGCATGAGAGAATGGAAGCAGGTTGCATCTGGGAACAGATGCTAAGAGTGACTAGGATCCAGTTCCTCCATGTGGGTCCACACCTTTAATCCCATCCTCTTGTGTTTGTCCACGTTCTCTTTATTCACGCTGCACTCTTGCTAGAGGGCTCCCCTTCAGCATAGAGGCCTTGCCTGGGGTAAGTCTTGCATGTGGAGATTCAGTTGCGGGACCACAGTATCTCAGGGTTGGGCCAGATCTCATCCTCTCCCCAACTCAGTTCTTCAGTCACACAGCCTCCTACACAGCATCCCATTCCTCCTCCCAACTGGTGGCCTTCAGGAGCTTCTGCTGCTGTACCTCCTTTCCCCATGAGGAGGAGGGACTTCTGTAGAAAGCAAGCCCTAAATTTTGTGTTTACCACCTTCGTGACATCACACACATGTGGTTGGAGTTGAGCCCATCCCCAGTCTCTGTAGACAGCTTCCAGCTGAGAAACCTCACCTCTGAGGCTGCACTCCTGGCAGCAGGCACTGGCTCTGCCTTCTGGGGACCCTGAGCTCCTGCTGACCATGCTGCAGCGGGGCTTTGGGAGGGGACATTCGGGATGGCTGCAGAGTGCCTTCTGCTTGGGCTTTGCAAGCACTTATGTGCACATGTATGCGCTTGTGCTTGTATGTATGTGTGCAAAAGGGTCAAGCCCAGTGGCACTGAGTGTTCTCTCTATCCCTCTCCCACAGCTCCCCCTTCTGGCTCACCTTTCTCTTTCAGGCAGCTGGTCTGGGATGCTGCTCCAAGTCTTGCCCAGCCTCTTTTGTGACTTCCTCCTCCACCACTTAGTCTTGCCCCCAAAGCATTTCCAGCCCCAAGGCCGTCCCCCAGGCTTCTCTAGCCCCTCCCCTTCCTCATGTTCCCAGCCAGCAGTCACTTGGGCCTTCAGTCTCTGGCTCCTCTTCCTCCTCCCTCTGCATTCCCTTTGCTGCATCTAGGATACTCTTTTTTTCTTTAATTAAAAATATTTATTTTTTATTTTTTTAATGCTCACCTGAGGATATTTTCCTATTTATCTTCATATAGAGTGGGAAGGAGAGAGAGGGAGAGAAAGAAACATCAATGTGAGGGGGACACATTGACTGGTTGCCTCCTACCCGACCCCAACCAGAGCCGGGGACAAACTGCAACCAAGGTATGTGCCCTTGGCCGGAATCGAACCCACCATTCATTGGTCCACGAGCCGATGCTCTACCACTGACCCAAACCGGCTGGGGCAAAAATATTTAATTTTTAAACCAGTTTTACATGTTTGTGGTTTTAAAAATTCCAATGGTTCTGCCCTGGCCAGTTTGGCTTAGCGGTTAGAGCGTTGGCCTGCGGTCCGGAGAGACCCGGGTTCGGTTCCCGCTAAGGGCATGTACCTTGGTTGCAGTTTGTCCCCGGCCCTGGTTGGTCGTGCGGGTGGCAGCCACTCGATGTGTCCCTTTCACATCGATGTTTCTCTCTCTCTCTCTCTCTTCCTCTCTCTCCCTCCCACTCTATCTGTACAAAAAATAGAAAAATGTCCTCGGGTGAGGATAAAAAAATAAAAAATAAAATAAATAAATAAAAATTCCAATGGTTCTGTAAGGCATTTAGGATACTCTTTTTTTTTTTTTTTTTTTTTTTTTTTTTTTTTTTTTTTAATCCTCACCCGAGGATATTTTTTCCATTTTTTGTACAGATAGAGTGGGAGGGAGAGAGAGGAAGGGAGAGAGAGTGAGAAACATCGACGTGAAGGGACACATCGAGTGGCTGCCACCCGCACGACCAACCAGGGCCGGGGACAAACTGCAACCGAAGTATGTGCCCTTAGCGGGAACCGAACCCGGGTCTCTCCGGACCGCAGGCTGACGCTCTAACCGCTGAGCCAAACTGGCCAGGGCACATTTAGGATACTCTTAAAACTCAGATCTCATTTGGTGCTTTTTTTTTTTTTTTAATGCCTCTGATTGGGTCAGGCTTCATGGTTAGACATCAGGGCATTCAGACCCACAGTCATGGTTGCCAGTGAGTGGCACATACACCTTCCAGTTTCATCTTCTTGGCCTTCTGCCTTTTTACAGGCTCTTCTCTGCCAAGAGCACCTCCTACTCCCCCTTTGCCTGGGTACACACATACACATACACCCAGACCCAGATGTGCCCCCCTCCCCTAATCCCATGCTCTTCTCCCACAGAGCATGGCAAGTCAGGGTCTTCTGTTCAGCTCCAGCTCTGCCTTCAAGAACCCACCAGGACTCAGAGAACATTTGTGGGATAAGTGTCAGATAAACGCTTAAGTCCTGGATAGTCTGACAGACTGATCAGTGTGGTAGACTGTCCTGGTCCTTCACTGCCTCCTATAGGAACGTAGAACTCCAGGGCACAGCAGTCCCCGAGTGTGTCATTGTCTGAACCACATCCTGTATGTGTGCCAGCAAAGGAACCATAAGCTCAGGTCTCAAAATCATCTTTTCTACCCCTTGACCAGGCACTGCCCACACAAGTCCTTCCTGGAGCTCTCCTCTCTCCCCTCTGAGACTAACTGTTCATTTCCAAGCATCTTTTAAATGCTACTTTTCCAAGAAGGACTGACACCCCCAGACCCACTCTCCAGTTGTAATTGTTTCCTTGTGTTATGATTTGCTGTAGGGGTACTGCAATGAGTGGCATATGCAGACCCCTCTGTATTCCTTCTACTTCTGAAGCACTGTGGCCCCAGTGGGAGGGGCTATGACTCGGACTCAGGTGCCTGGTGGGACAGAAAGCCCCCTATCAGTAACGGAGCAAATGCTTGTTCCCTCTCCTTCAGGCACACTGTGGTTGCTGGATTAGAGGGAAAATGAGCCCATAGGCCTCTTTCCCACTTACCTGGACACCTACAGTCTTTGTGACAGGACAACCTGTGTAAACCCTAAAGCAGAGCTAGTATGCACACACCATGCATTTGGCTGAGAATTAATACTTTTTTATTTCTCTTTCAGTGGTTGATATCACAGCAAGTATCCTTTTCTTGGTACTGTTTCCTGTAAGAAATTCTCTGTTTAAAAAAAAGAATGTGTTATAAACTTGAATTCCTGCTATGATGCACCCTTTGGGTTCAGATCTTGCCCCACAGACCTCTTGGAGAATCCCTGCTCAGCCATAGCTGTCCCTTCAGATCAGTGGCCTCACCATGTGAGCCATGTTCCTCTTCAAGCCCCAACATCCAGTTCCACATCTGGCAAGCTCAGAGATCACTGGGAGAATACATGAACTTGGGGTTTCAGAGCAGGTGGGAACACACCTGACTGGTGAACTTTTGCAGTGTAAGAATCCCACACACATTTTTTTTAAAAAACTGACCTTTTTGTAGCATCTAGACTTTCTTAACTGGATATCACTAGATCCCACAGTTTGAAGATGTTAAATTTGAAGCCGCAAGTCTTTTGTCTGAATTATACTGTCAAGAGGTAAGAGCCTATGAAGGTTTCTGAAAGCAGGGTCCCTCTCCCTGTAGTGAAGGCACAATGTCAAATTGGTACTCTCCAGGAGTGGACTGACTTCCTCTTGGCTTGTTTTCTTTCTTTTTTTAAATTAACTTATTTTTTTTTAATTCTCACCCAAGGATATTTTTATTGATTTTAGAGAGAGAAAAACATCAATGTAAGAGAAAAACATCGATTGGTTGCCTCCAGTATGTATTTTGCCCAAGGATCAAACCCACAACCTTGAGTGTATACCCTGCCTGGGAATCAAACCTGCAACCTTTTGGTGTATGGGACGATGCTCTAGCCAAGTAAGCCACCTGGCCAGGGCTTTTGTTTTTTTTGTTCTTCTGACTTTCTTCTGGCTTTTTTTTTTTTTTTTTTTTTTTCATTTTCATTTTTAAAACCTCACCCAAGGATATTTTTCCAATTATTATTTATTTATTTATTTTGCATTTATCTTGAGATAGAGCGGGAGGGAGAGAGGAAGAGAGAAAGACACACACATCAAGTGGTCACTATCCACATGACCCCAACTGGGGCTGGGGACAAACTGCATCCGAGGTACATGCCCTTAGCGGGAACCGGACCTGGGCCTCTCTGGTCCGCCCACTGACACTCTTACTGCTGAGCCATACTGGCCAGGGCCAATTATTATTTTTTTTAATCCTCACTCGAAGATATTTTTCCAAATATCTTCAGATAGAGTGGGGGTGGGGGAAGAGAGAAATATCAATGTGAGAGAGACACACTGATTGGTTGCCTCCTGCACCACTTTGTCCTGGCCCGGAGACGAACCGTAACTGAGGTACATGCCCTTGGCTGGAATTGAACCTGAGACTCTTTGGTCTGTGGGCCGATGCTCTAACCACTAAGCCAAACTGGCCAGGGCTCCAATGATTTTTTTAAATTTTTTAGATAGAGTAAAAGTGAGGGGGGGAGAGAGAGAGAGAAACATCAATGTGAGAGAGACACATCAATTGGCTGCCTTCGTGTGACCCCGACAAGGGCCAGGAATTGAACCTGAAACTGAGGTACATGTCCTTGACCCGGAATTGAACCTGAGACTCTTTGGTCCTCAGGCCAACACCCTAACTGCTGAGCCAAACCGGCTAGGGCATATTTATCTTTTTAATCTGGTTCATGATCTCAGACATAGCTCAAAATTGCCTTTCTCCCACCTTTGAACAATAGCCTGTGAGGCTCCCTGGGCAACAGGGAGTGCGTGGTTAACACCCCTGGCCCATCTCTCTTATAATATGAGAAAGATAGCAATTGCCATCCAATTTGACTGATCAGGATTTTGAACCAAAGCTACTTTAAGTTTAGTTGAATGAGTTATTTTAAGAGCAATGCAAAAACCTCCCAGTCAGTTAGTTCAATAAAATATCTTTTTTTATTTTTTTATATGTTTTTACTGATTTCAGAAAGAGGGTAGAAGAGGGGGAGAGAGAGAAAGAAACATTTATCGGCTGCCTCCTACACGCCCCACACCAGTCCAGTGATTGAACCCACAACCCAGGCATGTGCCCTGGTCCAGGAATCAAACTGGCAGTCTCTTGGTGCGTGGGACAATGCCCAGCCAAGTGAGCTACATCAGCCAGAGCTCTTTTCTTCTTTTAATAAAGTACATCAGCAACCCACAAATCCTTTGGTGAGCATGAATATGAATGGCCCTCTGGTACCAGAACTACATAAGGAATCTAGCTTGCCTGCCAGCTTTTTTTTTTTCCCTCCCCAAATGTGACTGTTTCCTTTCAGAATTCTGTTGATGCAGCAAAACCACTACTGCGGAAAGCGATCCAGATCTCACAGCAGACCCCATACTGGCACTGCCGCCTGCTCTTCCAGCTCGCTGTGAGTACTGTGGAGCCTGGCCAAGACACGTGGGTGCCACATGGGGCCATAACCTTGGGGCACACCCACCTAAGTATAAATAAAGGCAGACTACAGGACGCACAGGCCCTCCTCAGGGTGCTGCACCAAGAGGATGGGGACACAGAGATAATTCTTTAGCCTGCTCATAAGTCCCTTCCAGCCTCTGACTTCAGCAGTACCCCCAGCACAAGTCTCATTCAGCATCAGAAGTGACTGGTGGAGGTCCCCATCTCTCCGGGAGCTGACTCAGTGGACCTTGTCATTGCATTCCCCTCCCTCATGCTGCTCCCTTTGGCCTGTGTTCATTTAAATTTGGGAAGCATTTCTTGCCAGAAACCCACCATGGTTTTTAAGGGCTGTGCTGAGATTCTAAGACGGTGCCTATTGGGCAATAAATACCTGCCCGAGTCAAGCCTTTGCAGGGCTGCTGGGACACAGTCTCTCTTGGGCTCCATGTGGTCACCCCCCACCCACCCACCCACACCCACCAAACTTCCTTCAGCTTTCCAGACATAGTGGTGTCCTGGTCCCACTGCTCTGAGATGATTAGGTAGAGGGGATTCTGTCTTCCTGGCTATAGTGACTGGGCCTGAGGACTGGGGTGGGTAGGCTTCACTGTGAGGGTGCCTCTTCTGTCGTGGGCACTACCCACATCTTCCTCGCATTGCTAGCCTCCAGCCTCTCATTGTCCCTGACCCAGCCTGCTCTCTACACTGCCTCTTGTGTACTTTCTGTGATACAGTTCCATTACCTTCCTGTGTGTGCAGGGTATGGGCCTTTGGCTGGAATTGCTCACCCCCACTACAAACCCCCTCCCCCCCGTGGAAGTCCCTCATCCCAGAAGGATGTGACTCAGGTTCCCTGCTGGGAAGAGTTCACCCAGCCAGTGCTCCTAAGCTCTTCTCCCCCTGTCCTGCTGCTGTCCCACACAGCACTGTCTCCTTTAATCCTACCATGCGTTCTTTGCCCATTGACAGATAGGAAGTGGGACACCTGCCTCGGGCCACAGAGTTGGAGGGTGCTTCATGCACCTGAGAGCCCAAGCTCAACTGAGGTCCCACAGGTGTCCCTTCCTTTTAGCCTAAGACTTCTGGGTTTGAAACTCCCACAGACACTTGACCCTGAAGGAGTCCTTCCTTGTTTGGGGTGCCCTGACTCCCCTAGTGACTGACATCTGATGGAGACCTGCACGGATACACTCATGCAGCCCTGGGAATCTGTGTACTATTAAGCTTAGATGATGTACACTGTAGGCAAAGTAGAGTTCTATACCCAAAGCAATCAACATTGATGATACATGATTTGGTTAATATAACTCAAAACTGATACTGAAGCAATTTTGTTGACTGGTGGGGAGGTTCACTTGAACTCGCCAACAAAGCATTAGAGTCAGATACTGAGTATTATAAAGTAAGTGGTTTGGAAGCAAGGATTATTGTTCTCTTTCCTTTTTAGCAACTGCACACGCTCGAAAAGGACCTGGTGTCTGCCTGTGACCTCCTAGGTGTGGGAGCCGAGTATGCACGGGTAGTGGGATCCGAGTATACACGGTAGGCACCCTCTCCCCACATCCCTTCCCTCTTACTTGGAAGGAGCTCGGCCATTTGATCCTGGGCAACCACTAGAGTTGGTGTTTCAGCATGAAACTGTACACATAGTAAGAGATGGACAAATTGAAGCAACACCAGAATGCCTTGTATCTCACCAATTCACCCTATTAATATATGAAGTTGGAGAGTTGACTGAGGCTGAGGGCCAGCTGGCATTCTCAGCACAATCTAGTATCTTAAAATAAAAAGTGCTTGTAGGATTTGCTAGGCCAATCTCATTTGTGATGCAGATATGAGAATGGTGTCTGCAGAAAGCATACCTAGTGTGCTTGGCAGCACCTAAAGTAATTCCAGTCCCTCTCAGTATGTCCAAGAGCTTTTAGATGCGCAATAGACACAGTAAGCGGAAGTTTGTATAAAAGAAGGGATGTAGCAGTGGCGGGTGTGGCTCGGTTGGAGCATCATCCCGTGCACTAAAAGGTGACAGGTTTGATTATCAGGGCACATACCCAGATTTTGGGTTCGATCCCTGGTCGGGGCATGTGTGAAAGACAACCAACCAATTGACGTTTCCCCTCTCTCTCTCTCTCTCTCTCTCTCTCTCTCTCTCTCTCCCTCCCCCCCTCTCTCCCTCCCTCTCTCTCTCCCTCTCCCTCTCTCTTCTCTCCTTTCTCCTCTCTCTCACTCCTCTCTCTCTCCCTCTCTCTCAAATGAATTTTTTAAAAAGGGACATAGCCCTGTCCCATAGCTTAGTTGATTAGAGTGTCGTCCCCATATGACAAGGTTGCAGGTTTGATCCCTGGTTAGGGCACATATAGGAATCAACCAGTGAATGCATAAATAAGAACAACGACGAATCAATGTTTCTCTCTCTTTCTCTCTCTCTAAAATCAATTTAAAAAATAAAGGGAGACATAGGTACATGTTATGCATGAAGCTACTTAGACCATCTGGAGACTTGTACCCTAGGGTTGGGTGTCAGGGGTCAGAAACCATAAGAGCTTCTCTGTGCACCCTCTGTGAAAGCCTCTAGTCTCTTTGCCCCAAGAAAAGAATCCTCTGCACTAGACAGACTCCAGGCAGCAGTGCTTTTATTATGGTGTGTGCTTTGGGGTTCTAAAAAGTTCTGTTTCTTGGAACTGAGCTCATCCCCTGGAGTTGTTGGGATAAAACGGTCTCAAACTCTGTTCTCTGAACTCTGGCCCATTTGGAGCCACGCAGCTTTCCGTAGGCTGCCCTCATCCCTCAGCCACCCTATCCTGAGATGGCAGCTGTCACACAATCTGGTCTCACATTCCTAGCCCTTCCTGGCCCCTTATGTTGCAGCTGTTACTGGTCCATGGTGACACACTTTTCAGGGCAGAGGGACAGCCACACACTGTGCATGTTCACTCACGAGTGTCCCTAGACAGGTTTCTGTGCCACCTTGGGTGGGCAGCTTAGGTGGTCTCCACCAGGGCACAGGGCCTGCAGGTCACCTGACCCAGAACCTCTGACCATGGATGTAGGGCCTCCAGGCACGTGCTTCCTATGTGATAACATGGGAAACTTGATGTGAAGTTCCAAGCCTTAGGTTTCAGTGGTTGAACAGCAGGCAGATAGACCTAGAGTGTTCACACTGTGAAGTAACAATAAGGAAGAACTTGGTGGCCTAGAGTACAAACATCTTGCAGGCTGTGTGACTGACCTTGCCACTTTAGTCTCCTCACTTGTAAAACGGAGAATGGCACCCACTTGATGGGGTGTCAGCTGCAGCACACAGAAGACTCTGTCAAGGCCGGTGGGACAGAGACTGAGACGTTGAACAAACTGGGACCTGTGGTCTCTGCATGACTACAGCTATTCCTGAAGGCAGCGGCTGCCTCCCTAGCTTTCTCCCCCATCGTTTTGGCTGTTTCCTAAACTTTTTAACATGCTCATTTTAATTATTTTTGTTGACGATAACAGCCGTGTGCACACATTCAGAAAGTGTCCAAAGGTTTACAAGAAACAATAGAAATTTAGCCTTGCTTCCCTGACCGGTTCTGCTCAGAGGTTCGAGCATTGACCTGTAGACCAAAGAATCCCAGGTTCGATTATGCCCAAGGGCATGTACCTCGGTTGCGATTCATCCCCGACCCCAATGGGTGGCAAACAGTCGATGTATCTCTTTCACATTGATGTCCCCCCCCAAATTCTGTTTGAAGATAAATGTAAAAATATCCTTGGGTAAGGATTTATTTTTCATTTTTTTAACTTTTTTATTTTTTTTATCTTTATTGTTGAATGTATTACAGATGTTCCTCATTTTTCCCCCATTGACCCTCTCCTCCCCACTTCCACCCACACCATTGTCTGTGTCCATTGGTTATGCACATATGCAAATACGTCTTTTGGTTTATTTCTTCCCACCCCCTAACCCCCCTTCCCTTTGAGGTTTGTCAGTCTAGCAATGAAATTGTACTTCTTAATCCCTTCACCTTTTTCACCCATTCCCCCAACCCCCCTCCCATCTGGAATTAACAAAATGTTCTCTGTATCTATGAGAATGTTTCTGTTCTGCTTGTTCATTTTGTTTATAGATTCAATTATCGATAGACATGTATTCATTGCCATTTTGTTTGTTCATATTTATTATCTTTTTCTTCAAAAAGACCCTTCAACATTTCATATAATAATGGTTTGGTGGTAATGAACTCCTTTAGCTTTTCCTTGTCTGAGAAACTCTTTATATGGCCATCGATTCTAAATGACAGCTTTGCAGGATAGAGTAATCTTGGTTGTAGGTTCTTGCTTTTCATCACTCTGAATACTTCTTGTCACTCCCTTCTGGCCTGCAAAGTTTCTTTTGAGAAATCAGCTGACAGCCTTATGGGAACTCCCTTGTAGGTAACTAACTGCTTTTCTCTTGCTGCTTTTAAGATTTGTCTTGAACCTTTTGCATTTAGATGATGATGTGTCTTGGTGTGGGCCTCTTGGGGTTCAACTTATTTGGGACTCTCTGTGCTTCCTGGACTTGCATGTCTGTTTCCTTCACCAAGTTAGGGAAGTTTTCTTCCATTATTGTTTCAAATAGGTTTTTGATTTTTTGTTCTCTCTCTTTTTCTTCTGGCACCCCCAAGATGCAAATGTTGGCACGCTTGAAGTTGTCCCAGAGGCTCCTTACCTATCCTAATTTTTTTGTATTCTTTTTTCTTTTTGCTGTTCTGATTGGGTGTTTTTTGCTTCCTTATATTCCAGGTTGATGGCTGGCTTTTTGGCTTTACCGACTCTACTATTGAATCTGTGTAAATTATTCTTTATTTCAGTTAGTGCCTCCTTCATTTCTGACTGTGCATCCTTCATTTCTGACTGGTCCTTTTTTATGTTCTTGAGGCCCTCACTAAGTTCGCTGAGGTTCTCACTAAGTTCATTGAGCATCCTTATAAGCAGTATTTTGAACAAAGCATCTGTTAGGTTGCTTATCTCCATTTCGCTTAGTTCTTTTCCTGGGGTTTTGTTCTGTTCATTCATTTGGGACCTGTTTCTTTGTCTCCTCATTTTGGCTGTCTCCCTGTGTTTGTTTCTATGTATTATTTAACGAGAGGTATGGGGCTAGCTGAGACCAGATGCTGCTTGTTTGAAAGAATTTAGGAAAACCTGAAGCAGGATCCAAGACAGGCCAATCCTGTGGTGAAGCAACTGGCAACAGCTTGGGTGGGCCTGAAAGTTGGGTGGGGCAGGGCCTCAGGGAATCACCAGGGTGGGGCAAACCTTGTGAGCCAAGTTGCTGGAGGCCCGGATATGGCAGCCATCTGCTGCCCTAGGGAAGGGCTCACCAAAGGAACAAAGGCCTCTGACAGCAGTCTGTCCAGGAGAAAGCTGCCTCTCCAGCCCTCGCTCCAATGCCAAACAGCTCAATTCTTCCCTGTATGTCTCTGGCGCCCCTCAAGCTGCCTCCCCTCCAAGCTGAGAGGGAGTGAATTCGATAAGTCCGTGCATGGGCCCTTTAAGATGAGCTGCCTGGGGCTCCAGCCACCTCAGCCTCACGGAGCCTCAGTTCCCGCTGGTTTTTCCAGCCAGAAATTATGGAATCCTCTTCCAGGCACTGGAACCCTGAGCTGGGCACCTGGTGTGGGATGGGGACCCTCTCAGTCCTCAGGGAGGACCTTCCCAGCCAAGGTATCCTCCTGTTTATCTGCCACACATGGGTGTGGGGCCAGCTTGTCGCACTTCCGCCCCTCCTACCTGTCTCGATGTGGCTGCTGCTTTAATTTTGTAGTTGTAGGACTTCCATTCAGCTTGATTTCAGGCGGTTCTGAAGGATGGTGGTTCTGTAATTTAGTTGTAACTTTGATGTGGTTGTGGGAGGATGCCATACCGCGTTTACCTATGCTGCCATCTTGACCTGAAGTCTCCTTGGGAAGGATTTTTTTAAAAAAAAGAGCCCTGGCTGGTTTGGCTCAGCGGTTAGACCATTGGCCTGCGGACCAGAGTGTCCCGGGTTCTGTTCCCGTTAAGGGCACGTACCTTGGCTGCAGTTTGTCCTTGGCCCCAGTTGGTGTCGTGTGGGTGGCAACCACTCGATGTGTCTCTCACCCCGATGCTTCTCTCTCTCTCTTCCCTCCTCTCTTCCTCCCCCTCTATCTGAAGATAAATGCAAAAATGTCTTCGGGTGAGGATAAAAAAATTTAGCCCTGCTGACTACTGCAATTGGGGACAGTGGGTGCTAAGGCTGCTGACACGTTGGGGGCTCCTCAGTTTCATCCCTTTAACACTCGGGAGAACCTGAGGGGGCTTGCCTGGTCACAGGAGAGGAAGGAGAGGTATGGAGGGGCCACAGTCAGGTGTGGATTTGGGTTCAGATACTCAGGCCTGCCCACTCTCTCTGTGCCCTATGCTGTCTACCAATGTTGTGTCAGCAGGTGTGAGATTTTGGCAAGCATGCTGTCCTGTACCCTGCCCCTCCGTGCTTTCTGAGCATCTTTCTATGCCTTCTGGGCTTTTGAACCACAGGAGTAGCTAAATTAGGCCAAAAATATAAAGAAAGATCAATAGGACAAAGTAGAGCAGTCTCATAAATAGAACCAGCTTCATTAGGGGTTGCTGGGGGCTGCTGTCATCTGCTTAACTGTCCCCTGGGATTGGTTGTTGGTCCCTGTGAATGTTGGAGTGATAATCATCCCAGAAGGCAACCTGGGCCTCACAGACTGACTCCCCCTCTCTGTTTTCTAGGGCTCTGTTCCTGCTCAGCAAAGGGATGGTAAGTTGAAGTTGAGCAGAATGGCAGGGGTGTGGCGGGAATGAGGCAGGGCTCCTGCTCACTGTGGTGCAACCCTTAAGTACTGCAGGCAATCATGAGTGAGGCCCCTGTGCTCCATCTGGGTTCAGAGGTGAAACTCTGATTCCAGGTTGTGCAATTTGTGCTGAGGATGGAGCAGCTTGGATGTGGGTTCCAGCCCAGCTTTTTGCCTTTCCTGCATGATTCCAGCAGTCCCCCAGTGGGTGGGAAAGCAGACAGTGGCCCTGTGCGCTGGGAGGGGCTCCCAGCGCCTGTGCCTCTCCCTCCCCAGCTGCTGCTGATGGAGCGCAAGTTGCAGGAAGTCCACCCGTTGCTGACCCTCTGTGGACAGATTGTTGAGAACTGGCAGGGAAATCCCATCCAAAAGGAGTCTTTACGTGTCTTCTTCTTGGTGCTCCAGGTGACACACTACCTGGATGCAGGGCAGGTATGTAGTGCCTCCCACAACAGAGCTGCTGGAGAGCAGGCAGGTGGTGGGGGGACTTCAGGCTGAGATACCCACTCTGTTGTTGCCTCCTGTCCCTCATCACAAAGTGCATCTCATTCAGGGCTTAGCTCCCCCATATACCCTGTTGTGCTCTGGCATAAGTGCGGTGACCCTGAGGGCAGTGGGTGCTCTGAGAGTGGCCTGTCCTCACAGTGGGAGTGGGAGGCATGGCCTCACATGTTTCATAATGATAAACTATGAGAATTCTGACAAGGTGCCTGACCCATAGCAGGTACTCAAGCAGTGTTTGTCCACACCCCCACCCCACCCCCCAGCTGATGAGAGCTTTGTGAGGTTCGAATAGGGACTAACTGTGTCAGCTGTGTCCAAGACTTGACTCTGTAATCCCCATGTAGTTGGTGAGACTCTCTATGTACTCTCTGTGGCTGAATGTCCAGACTTTGGGGGTGTTGCCCCATCTACCTCACCCCACCCCATCCCAGTGACTCACTACAGGCCTGACCTCAGGTCCTAGGAGCCTGCAGGTGGAGCCCTAGAAAGCATTAGGAAGGCTTTCATTGGTAAGAGACTGCCTCGTTGTCCCACTTGTGCCCACATTTACCTGTTGGGTCAAGTGGCATACTCTTGGCCCAACATAGGGACACAACAGACTCATGGGGTGCTCTGGACATGTCCTATGGGGCCTTGGAACAGGGTTTCTTAGTGCCCAGAAGCCAATTTATATGAGGTATGACACCTGTAGGACTCGAGCCCATGAAGCCAATTCCTGCTCCCAAGGATGACTGCTAGCTTCCCCAGCCCTGTCCTGCCCTCTCAGGGTCACTGAAGGAAGGAGGAAACATAGCTCATGCAGCATCTTTGGACAGGCCTCTCCCAGTTCTTGGTGTTGGACCCAGCACTGGGCGGTGGCTGAGCCTCAGTCCCACAGATGATCCCCCTGAAACTGCCCCGTGCCCTGAGTGCTTGCTGACCCATTTGGGGGCAGACTTCCTGCAGGTGGTGGGCGTGGTGGGAGCTCCTGGGAAGAAGGGACTGGTGAGCTGGCACCTATTGGGAGCGGACAGGCACTCAGGTGTGCAGTGCCGCCCACTGCTGCAGGTGAAGAGTGTGAAGCCATGCCTGAAGCAGCTGCAACAGTGCATTCAGACCATCTCCACACTGCATGACGATGAGATCTTGCCCAGCAACCCCGCCGATCTCTTTCACTGGCTGCCCAAGGAGCACATGTGTGTGCTTGTCTATCTGGTGAGTCTCCAGGGCTGAGGTCAGGGGCCAGGTGAGTGAGGAGAGGGCCTTAGTGACCATCACTGTCTGGTCTTATCTCCAGGTAACTGTGATGCACTCCATGCAGGCTGGCTACCTGGAGAAGGCACAGAAATACACAGACAAGGCACTTATGCAGCTGGAGAAGCTCAAGAGTAAGTTGGGCTGGTGGGTCGCATGGCCACTGAGCCCCTTGGTGTCTGGCCCAGCCACTGCCTTGTACTGGGCCTGAAGGACCTCGGTGCCATGCAGTCCCCAAGTCCCTACCCCATGGGTCTTGTTACTGTAGTTGGTAAATGAGGGTGACCTGGGGTCAGGGCAGAGCAGGCCAGGTTAGGGGTCTTGTGCCATCTCTGTTCTGTCCATCCCGCTACATAAGAGCTGTGATAGACGATTGCACCTGGGCCTGCAAAGACAGCAGTGCTCAGTTGAAATGGGGTGGCTGCTGTTATCAATGTTGTGACATGGATTGTGCTCAGCATGGAGCAGAGATCTGAATTCAGCTTTTGCTGACTAACAGTGATGGCCTGGAGGTTGTGAGTTCTTCCTGGACACTTGACTAATCCATTCTGTGGGACGAGGGATCTATTTTTTTTAATCCTCACCTGAGGATATTTTTTTATTAATCATCAGATAGAATGGCAGGGAGGGAGAGAGAGAAACATCGATGTGAAAGAGACACATTGAATGGCTGCCTCCTGCACGACCCGACAAGGGCCAGGGATGAACCACAACCAAGGTATGTACCCTTGACCGGAATTGGACCCACAACTTACTGCAAGCCAATGCTCTAACTGCTGAGCTAAACCAGCCAGGGAGAGATCAGGGACCTTTGACTAGCAGGAACCTAGAGCTCTGATTAGGTGTCCCCATTAACCTGCTCACCCAGTCCCTGTGCCCTTCTTCAGCGCTACTATGTGAGGAGCTATCAGCCAGAGAACCAAAGCCCTCAGGAATCACAGTTCATTCCCTCTGGCCAAGTTGGGAAAGGTCTACACTGTCTAGTCCCAACATGAGGACAGCCATTCAGGGCAGCCCGGAATCCGGTCTACCCACTGCTGCCTGAGGCTGTCACATGGTATCACTCTCCTGGGCAACATTAACATTTCTAAAACCCACTGTGTCTATAGTGTTCTTGAGCACATGACTGGGTTGTGGTGGTGGGTCAGTGTGGAAAACAAATCCCTCCAGGGATTTCTTACTCTTAAAACACTGTGGTCACCGGAACCTGCTATGAGCCTGTCTCCCAACCTGAACAGGGAGATGAACCCGTCACTTGAGGGTGCAGTGGGCATGAGTGAAGTGACAGGCTGGGTGCTGGATTTGTGCAGCAGATTATGTAGGCTCAGACCTGAAAGCCGACAGGTCCATATGGTGGGAGGCTGGACCAGGGATTAGCATCTTCTCAGCTTCTCCAGCTGCACCCTGAGTGCTCATCCCCCTCTCGCCTCCAGTGCTCGACTGCAGCCCCATCCTATCCTCCTTCCAAGTGATCCTGCTCGAGCACATCATCATGTGCAGGCTCGTCACAGGACACAAGGCCACTGCACTACAGGAGGTGAGGCCACTGGGGAACACATACACATGGGATGGGAGGGCCAGAGAGCAGGTGATTGGAGTTTGCTGAGTCTCAGAAGTCATCACATAGGAGAATGAAAATTTGCCCAGTGCACATCAGCAGGACATTTGTCTGTGTCAATTCACTATAACTTGGCAGTTGGTGACCCTTCATGGACATAGTTAATCAGACAGTCTGATGCAGAAATGAATGGGCCTTTCTCTAAGAGCTGGGCAACATCAACATTTCTAGAACGTACCATGTCTGGAGTGCCCAAGGAATGTGAAGCCCTTCCTGCTCCATGTAACCCCTGCTTACCACCTTCCTGAGAGGGCACAGGGCCTTAAGCAGGGCAAAGTTGCTGACAGCTAAGACATATTGGAAAGGAGGAGAAGGCAGGTAACAGACAAGGATTACTGTCCTCAAGGGGTCAGGACTGCCCTTTGCCCCACAGTAGACACATCCACCAGAACTTTATACCCAAGTTAGGGCAGGCAGGATGTGGACACTGGATCCCAGGTTACAGGTCCGATGACGTTGGGCATGTTCTCCCGGCAGATCTCCCAGGTTTGCCAGCTGTGCCAACAATCGCCCCGGCTCTTCTCCAACCACGCAGCACAGCTGCACACGCTGCTGGTAAGTATGTAGGGCCCCATTCCAGTGAGGAACCCCACAACCATCACCCCGGGCAGAATCTGGAACATTCCCAGTGTACTTCATTCTGATAGACACCTTGAGTCCAAGTTGATATAGGTCCCAGGAGGAGGGAATAACTCACCATGCCATCTTTCTGCCTCCTCACCAGGGCAAAAGCTCAGGTGTAGGTGGCTCATAAAGTCACTGGTCAGACTCATCCAGGTGTAGCCATGGGCAGGTGGCTAGGCCTCAAGCCCTCAGTGCCTCCTTCTTCCAGGGCCTGTACTGTGTCTCCGTCAACTGCATGGACAACGCAGAAGCCCAGTTCACCACAGCCCTGCGGGTAAGGTGCTGGCCCTCACTGCATGGGGCAGGCAGTGATTCTTAGTAAGGAGTCAGTTATGGGCTGTGATGAGGACAGTAGCCACAGAAAATTGGTCACTGGTTGACTCGGCAGCATTCAGCCTGGTGCCAGCTGTGACAGTGAAGCACTGTTTATCTGGGGCTTTCCGTGGCAGGTTCTGTGCTTCTCAGATAGGGACAAAGCTGTCAATGCTGGCAGCACAGCCTGACAAGGGATAGCTGTGGGTGAGGGGGCTTCTGATCAGTCTGGGATGGGTCTTCCCCCTGCTAAACCAAAGGGCAGCCACAAAGGAGAACCTGGCACCCACTAGTGCCACAGCCTGTTTAGCCACTTTGACTTCTGATCCCCAGCCCTTCCAACAGCCTGCCAGGCTGGTGATGGCTTGTGTCATAGCTAAATACACAGTCACTTGGTGGGGTTCAAGTGCTTCCCAGAGCGGCCCCATGGCAGAGCTGGGACACAAAGCTGAGTATGCCCTGACTCTGCACCACCCCATGACCTGGGTGTTCTGGGGCAGAGGCCATCTGCTGCTGCCAGGCTGGAAGCTCTGCTAGAGCATGTCCTGGCCTCAGATGTGGCTAGTGCCACATCATCACGGAGCCATAAGGTCAAGGAGTCAACAGCCCCAGTGGTAGATCTCAGCTCTGCCCACCTTGTTCCAGGACTAGACAAGCATATCCGCACTTTGGCCCTGACATGCTCCAAGGAAAAGGAGGTGGGCAACACCTTCCTCCTGGTGGTCCTGGGGTGGCTCCAAGCAGAGATATTTGGGTGTGAGGCAGCTCTGTGACTCAGGTGAAGTCACTGGGGGTGTCACGTGCACCTTGGCTGATAGGGAGCTCCGCTCTGCCAATCTCCAGATTTCACTCCCAAGGTTGAGCTCTGGTGGCATTACTGCTTCTCCAAGATGCTCCACGTGGCCGTGGGTATAGGCAGGACACCAGAGCATGAAGAACAAACACATTGCCCACTCCCATGGCTTTCCATGTTCACTCTGTGTCCCAGTCAGCTCAGGTTGCCAGGACTCCCACACACATACTCCTCTCTGCCTGCAGTTACCACAGGACCTGTGAGAGTCTCTTGGCCCCTTCCTCTTCATCCCACTCCCCAGAAGTAGCTGCTGCTGCTCTGATTGTGTGTCCTAGGAATTCTCCATTAGCTATGAGAGAACAGCAGGGACATGGTGCAATCAGAATTCAGACCCAACCCCTCTGACCCCAAACACAGCTCTTCCTGTAGTCCTACAACAAATCAGAGCATTTCTGCTGCATCAGAAAATCTGGACCTCCTGTGAGTGGGGTCTGCACTTCCCCAGCACCCTCAGCATTTTGCATAGTTGTGCTTGCTCAGCCCTACTGGGAACCAGGGTTTGGGTGATACTTGGGCCCCTCAGATTGGTCCCCCTGTCCTGGTCATTCTTGGTTCACAAGAACTGGGGACAGTGGTCTATCCACCACTGGCCATTGGTAGCATCTTTGGCCTCTTTCCTGGCGGAGGTCTCCCCAGGACCAGCATATGCCTCTGCTGTATCAATGCTCACAGGGTCTCAAGGTCACCATGGTTTGGAGAGAGTGGCTGCCCGATCTCAGTCCTGAGAAACAAGCAGAAAGTGGACCAAAAGGGAGTGTGTTCTGAGGACAGGATCAGTGCAGCTGGCTTCCTTTTCTCTGTTTCCTAAATTTCACATAACGCAGATAATAATTTTATAGCCAAAAGAACTAACAGCTGTACTGTTCTTGGATTTAGGGGACAGGCGTGGGTGTTGTGTCTGAAATGAGAATAGGAGGTTCCACAGTAGCCACCAGGGAGCGTGTGGGTGGCTACCATGCCATGAGTGACCCCTAACGCCCTGTGTCCTCATTTCAGCTTACCAACCACCAGGAGCTGTGGGCCTTCATTGTGACCAACCTGGCGAGTGTGTATATACGGGAAGGAAATAGACACCAAGAGGTAGTAGGTGACATGCTTCATGTTTGGTATCCTTTCTTTCAACTTTTATTCAGGGTCTGGGGTGGGGGTTATCCTGGGCACCAGCCATCTCAGCAGTCCCAGCATATCTGTCCTCAGAGTGCAGCGTGGCTAGAGGAGGCCATGTCTGGGACAGAAATGTTCTCTGGCTAAGTAACACTTCTTTCTGTTGAAAACAAGCCAAGCTTTGTCAAATCTCCCAGAGCAAATTCAGTTTCTTCTACCCTGAGCTGTCTGTTATAGAATCAACACTGAGGCCTCATGGCTCACTTCTGAGGAGCGGCAGCTTGGGCAGTTGTCTGTATTGGGCCCCAGGTTGTCCTTATGCCCCAGACATGGATCATGAGGGGTGAGGAACAAAACAGGGTTTGTCCACAAAGGACAAGTGCCCTCACACCAGGTTCCCCTACAACTCCTCTCAGCCCTGAAATTTCCTTCAGCTCTGGGCTGGTTTCCCTCTCAGCCCCGAGATCCCCCAAGTCTTGGCATTCTTATTATACAGTGTATCAGATCCAGCTACTACTTTTCACCCCACAGCCTTCATTTTAGTTCAAGCTACTGTCATCTCTTGTCTACAAAAAGTTTAACTGACCTCCCAGATTCTGGGTTGTTTCAGATGTTTTGTGCTACAGGAGCAGGCCTTGGCCTCTTGGCAGTCAGGAAGCAGCAGGGCAGAGTTGTCTGAGGGCCAGCTGTAGGCTCCAAGAGTCACCTTTGGTGGGTCATGGAGAAGCGTGGTTCCTTTATATCTTTGCCCCGGTCTGCCTCCTGGAGGGGCCTTAAAGGCACCAGGAGCCACCTGGTCCCCAACCCAATCTCCGGAAAACCCAGAGAAGACCTAAAACGTCAGTCATAGTGTACTTCCTGTCAGAACCTCCCAGGTGCCTGCCCCTCCAAATAAACCCTGCTCCACCTCCTGCCCTCTAGGCCCATGTGGGCTCATCTTGCTCCTCCAGGCTGGACCCCCTCAGAAACCATAGCAAGGCCAGACTGGGAAGTTTTCCATGTACCCTAACCCCTCACCTGACATAGGAGTAGGGTAGGCTGAGGGTACAAAGATCCTTCACCGTGGACGCTGTGATTCCCTTGGGGGTGTAAGCAAGTGAGCAGTCCATGCAGTGCCCTGTAGTTTCACCTGCTGTAGATCCTGCCCCCTCTACCAGCTGGTTGCCCTAGTCTTGGGATTCAGAGTGAGGGCTCAACACCATCAGACAGAAAGTTGCAGCCCTGGTCAATTTACTAGCATAGTTGGGGCCCAACTCTCTCACATTTAGAAATGAAGAGTGATCCCAACTGACATTTCCTTTTCAGCTCTACAGCTTATTGGAGAGGATCAATCCAGACCACAGCTTCCCTGTCAGGTAGGTGGCCCCACACTGAGGTCCCACTTTACCACTGCCTATCTTATACCACCTGTGGGGTCTCTGGCTCTGGCCTGTTACCCCAGTGCCTTGTACCACCACCACCACTACCCACACTCCTTTTGTAAGCCTGCTATACTTAAAAAGCCCCACCAAATTGTGACGCTTCACTCTCTCCCCAGCTCTCACTGTCTTCGAGCAGCGGCTTTCTACGTGCGCGGGCTCTTCTCCTTCTTCCAGGGACGCTACAACGAGGCCAAGTGAGTGTTAGAGAGGGCAGGCAGCCTGGGCTGGCCCTCTAGGTGGTTTTCTCCCCTGACAGCATGCTCAGGCTCTCTGTCTCCCGCCAGGCGAGCTCTGCTCAGGGCTGAGAGGCTGCTGCTGCCTCTTCCTCCCCTAAAGACATTTCAACAGGTGCTCAGTCTGTTCCCCTCATGTAGGCGATTTCTTCGAGAAACTCTGAAGATGTCCAATGCGGAGGACTTGAACCGGCTCACAGCCTGTTCTCTGGTGCTTTTGGGCCACATTTTCTACGTGTTGGGGAACCACAGGGTGAGTGCCCAGGGCCAGCCTAGGGACAGGGGTCCAGCGTGGTGCTTGGTGGGGTGGGGCACCATCAAGTAGCTCTTTGCATCCTGTGCCCCTTGATGATCTTGTCTCAGTGTCACCCCCTGCCCCACCCTTTTAGCTTCATGAGTCTTGCCAAGGGCAGGGGCGCCCTGGACTCACACAACCTGGCGGGGGTGGGGCAGGACTGGGGAACTTTGGATCGCTAGAGTGTAGGTCTGTGGGGCCCAGTGTTTGGTAGGACTTTCTGGAGCTAGCAGGGCTAAGGCAGGTTCCTCTTTCTGTGTGTTAATACCTGAGGTGGAGAGGTGTCTTCTCTGTCAGAATTCCTTCAGTTCTGTTTCTGCCCAGCACACATACTGTCCTCAGATCACCCTTATTTCCACCCTCACCTAGAGTGTCCCATGGGACTGGTTCTGGTAGGATTGGCCAGCTCCAAGTCTCCCTGTTAGCTGTGCATTGTTGCCTGTTCTCACCTATTGACCTCAAAGGCCTTTAATTTTCTAAAGAAAACATTTGTCCATGTTATAAAATATGACATGTTTATCACAGAAGCTCTGAGAAGCAAAGTTGAAAATCATTATTTGTTCTCTGTCTTCTGGCTTTCTCCACTGCTCTCCCCTGCCTACCCATAGGTTTTGGTTTTTCAGGGTGTTTTATAGTTTCACACCTTGTCTTTTCCTATACCATTATATTAGAGTTTTGTTTTTTTTTGTTTTTTAACAGCAACAAGAATTTTTTTTTATTTTTTATCCTCACCCGAGGATATTTTTCCATTTTTTATACAGATAGAGTGGGAGGGAGAGAGAGAGAGAGAAACATCGACATGAAGGGACACATCGAGTGGCTGCCACCCGCACGACCAACCAGGGCCGGGGACAAACTGCAACTGAGGTACGTGCCCTTAGCGGGAACCGAACCCGGGTCTCTCTGTACCGCAGGCCAACGCTCTAACCGCTGAGCCAAACCGGCCAGGGCAGCAACAAGAATTTTGAAGTAGCATCTATTAAGTAGTTTAGTTAACCTCACTTGAGCTGTTTTCACAGGGCAGATGACACAGGTCAGGTGTTTTGGCCTATAAAGTGTCATATGATCAAACCTCAGGGCTTCCTAAGAATGAGTTTTTAAAATGAGCTTGACAGGTTCCCCTCCCCACTTCTAGTGTGGCAAGTGTTTGCCAAGGCTAACGGGCCCTGCTGCTCAGGTCCTGGTGGTCATGGCTGGGGATGTTGCCACCCCCAAAGAAAAGGGATGAGCTCTGGGTTCTCCTTTCTGAGTGCAGCTCTGCTTCTTCTGTAACGTTCTGTCACCTTCCCTTCAGCCTCTGAGCACAGTGAGGGCAGTGGCCTCGGTATGTGTCTAGGGGAAACATGAGGACCCCCTGAGTACAGGCTACATGCCTGTGTCTCAGTTTGGTAGCTGTGATTACCCTATTTCCAGATAGGTAGGTTAAGGTCACATAGCCCCAAACCTCAGACCCAGGCTTAGAACCAGACCTTCCTGGCTCTCATTTATATATGTCTCCAGAAGCCACCTTGAGCAGGATAGGTTGGGCAATGCAGCTCTTTAGCTGCAGCTCTGGATCATGTTTGGGGTGATCCCAGGGCATCTTACAGAGTTTGGGAACCTGTGCTGCTCACTGTGTGCCTGGCCCATGTGGAATGACATGGGCCCCCAAGAGCCTTTAGATGCAGGCCTGGCCTCAAGTGATTCCAGGTCTGGGGGAGACACTGTTGGACATAGCCAACACCACTCTAGGCCTGCTAGGCTAGAGTGTTCGTGGGCATTGCAAGTTTGTGGGCAGCCTCATTCTGGACACCTTAGTATCACACAAATCTTAAAAACCAGACGCTGTAGGGCAGCCCCAAGCTGGCTTTAGGAGAGCCTTCCCAGGGAACTAAGGGGGACACTCCCACAGGTGGCTTACATACAGAGGCCCAGCCCTTGACCTGGAGGAAAGTGGTTTTTCCTGTTCTGTGCATTCTGAGGTCTTGGAAGGGCTTGGTTCAGTCTTGAAAAGCTTCGAGATCTACCTGGAGCTCATCTTTGAGATAGATGCCTGTCGGAAAACGTGAAGTTTTTGGTCTTTTGTGTATCTAAGGAGGCATGTCTGCACACCTATGGCTGTTAAAGCCAGGCCTCGGGAGATAGTTTAGAGGATTTGTAAGTCTCTTGGATACATGACAAGTGTCCCCCATGCTGCTGCATATAGGGAATTCTCCCATTGTTACCCTGAACCCAACATTCGAGCCATTGGGGCTCATGGTTCATGGGCTGAGTGGGGACAGAGCAGCATTGCTGGTCACCATGGAGTTGGGTATGGGTGTTTATGGCCCCCAGAAGCTCTCCCTCAGCTCATCCTGGGAATTTGGATGGGGAGACAGTGCTGTGCAGTAGCGTGGAGTCAGGGTTGGAGGATTAACATGGCATCCTGGCATCCCCCCAGTCCCACATGTCTGGGGTGACCTCCCATAAGAATGGGCTCCATGGGAAAAAAAAAGAATGGGTTCCTCCCTCTGTCCATTCAGCCCTCATCACTTACACTGGGCAAACTGCTGCCTCTTCCCTGGCCCTGGGACCCCAGAATCTGACTTTCTAATTGGCTTCTGATCTGGGTCCAGAGCTGACTACTGCCAGTGCCTTCTTCTCTGGTTAGAATAACATTACAGAGTTGCCCTGGCAGCTGTGCCCCACACAGAGCCAAAGAGTGGAGGCAATTTATTTTTCCCCAAGGTGGTCAAAGAGTACTTTCACGGAAGGGCACGAGTTGGGCTCTGAAGTAGAAGAGGGAGTCTGCCAGGCAGCAGGAAGAAGGCGTAGCCTGGGCTAGGTATAGCAGGTGGGGCCTGAGTTGTCCCTGCTGCCTCCCCCACTCCCTGGCTGCTCTTGGTTGACAGGAGAGTAACAACATGGTGGTGCCCGCCATGCAGCTGGCCAGCAAGATCCCGGACATGTCGGTGCAGTTGTGGTCATCAGCCCTGCTGAGAGGTGAGTATGGCAGCTGGCCCTTCCCAGAGATCAGAGATACTGAGTAAGCCCTGCTTGGCCTTTGCTCAGAGTGGCCTCTACGGGCCACAACCCCAGTTCTAGCACATTCTCAGGCTTTTGGGATGCCATTTGAGGGCAGTGGGCACTGAGCTTGGTCATGGTGTCAGCTCAACACAGGATCTGGTTTAGTGTCTCCCAGACCTGCAAGGCTGATTCTTGGCATCTAGGTGAAGACTTGGGCTGTGAGCCCTGGTGCCCGGCCTCATCCCGTCGGGTAGGACTGGCTGGGATGCTCTGGGTGCAGGGTGGGCGCTCATCAGGTGGCAGTGCTGTTATAGCTGCTCCCCCATTTTTAGAGACTTGCCCTGGGCCCTGAGGGCAAGTCTCTATAAATGGGGGGAGGCTGGGTTCTGTGCATTTGTTCAGTTCTCCTGCCTTAGAAGTGTGTATTGGCTCCTATGTGCCCAGGGTCTCTGTTGCCCAACCAGCCTCTGTATCTGCCTCCGTGGGCCCCACTGCTTACCCATGCTAAGGACACAACTCAGAAATTCAGGAGGGCACATGTGAGGGCTGCTGACAGGTGGGCTTGGCTGACCCCAAGACAGGGCTCAAGGCAGGTGACTTGCCAGGTGCACAGGAACCCACTGGTGGAGCCTGGGTTTGACCTTAGGGCTCTACCTACACCCAAGAGGAGGGCATGGTGGTGGTGTCAGGGCAAGGCAGGCTCACCCCATGTGTGTCTTACCCTCAGACCTGAACAAGGCCTGCGGGAACGCCATGGATGCCCACGAAGCCGCCCAGATGCACCAGAACTTCTCTCAGCAGCTGCTCCAGGACCACATCGAGGCCTGCAGCCTCCCTGAGCATAACCTTATCACGGTATAGGCGCGAGGTGTGGGGAGACAGAGTGGGGGTGCTGGTTGGCTCCTCAGGACTGGCTCACCTGGCCTGCAGCCCTTCAGGGTGTGGGACACACTTTCTGAGAAGGAAGTACATGCTTGGCTGCCATCTCCCTATATCTCTCCAGCAATCCCTAGTCTCAGGAGCCCCTCAGATGTGAAAAATGGCACTAGTCACTTATGTGTTTTCTCCTTCCACAGTGGACAGATGGCCCACCACCCGTGCAGTTCCAAGCTCAGAATGGACCCAACACCAGCCTGGCCAGCCTCCTGTGAGACCCCTGGAGGGGACCACCCAGCTTCTCAAGGCCTCTGTGGGGCCTACTATGTTTCTGACTTCCACCCAGATGGCACTTGTGCTTTCCTCGGAGGCATGCTGGCATGGTGTCCCCGGGCTTCTATCCCAACTGTCTCCAGAGCTTCCAAGTCCCCAGGGAGTGTGCAGGGCCAATTGTTACCCTCCCAGGAAGGGATGGCCAGCTTTACCGCTGTGAATCAGGACCCCGGTGCTGAGGCTTGCAGGTGGAATGTTGGAGCCGACTTTCCAGAGCCATCCTTTAAAGTGGACTTGAACTGCCAATCCTACTACAAGTCTGAATCACGCCTTCTGGACCGTATCTGGACAGGGAGTGCTGGGGTGGGCAGCACCACTGGGGAATTGCCACGTGACTTCCATCGTCTGGACTTCTGTGCCAGGTTGGAGTGTTTCCTCTGCTGTCATGGCAGCTTCCAGAGCTCAGAGGCAAGATACCAGTTTCTGGCCCAAAATTGGAAGGAAGAAGTGATGACGCACATCAGGGACAAAAATGTGTGTCCTGCTACAACACTTTTCCCAGCTTGCCTTTCTCTCCAGCGTCCATCCTTCTGACAGCTAGGGCCTCTAGTTAGGGTCCCTGGGGACCCAGGAACTCGCCTTCCAAACGTCTGTACCTTGGTTGGATCATTATCTGGCCGTGAGGGTGCACATGCTGTAGACATGGGTGTGCATGTGTGTGCATATGCTATAGATACAGGTATATGTGTGTGTACTTGTAGACATGGGTGTACATGGGTGTGTGTGTGTGTGCTGTAGACACAGGTACGCATGTGTGGTAATTCTCAGAGCTGAGACTCCTGTGTTTGCACCAATTGCCTTTCCCCATCAGTTTCTATATTGTGGGGTAGGAAGCAGGGGGTAGGGGAGAGGACCCTCCTCAGCCCAACTCAGGGTGCTGAATGAAGGGGCTAGGGCAGTTCTGCGGCATGTTTGCAGAGGATATTTGCAGGCATCTGGAGCTCAGCCAACCCTGCCCTTGTGAGGGAGGAGGAGGAGACCTACACTTCCTTGGGTCTTGGGACAGCGTTGAAACCTCTTCCCAAGCTGGAGCCCCACCCCCACCCCCAGAAGGTTCTGCCTGGCCCAGACAGTGTGTTTAGTTCTGTGCTCCTCTTGGATAGTCTAGGAGATTCCCCAGTGGTGATGGTGGGACTGGGGGCAGTTGAAGCAGCTGCCCCCTCCAGCTTCTGGCACCTGGGAGCAGCTCCCTAATGGGGTGGTGAGTGGTCTGGTCAGGGTGGCTTATTGGCTTGAGTCTCATTCCCCTTGTACTGTGAAGGTTGCTTCTTGAAACCTCTGTCTAAGATGGAAGGAACATTGGTATCTGGTATCACTCAGGTAGCTACTTAGGCACAGAGCCTGGGTGTGCCTTAGCCATAAGCCAGACTGTCACCAGATCACTTGGCACTGGGGCACTTCTCTTACCAGGCCTGTGGCAGTGCCCTGCTGCCCATTTGGGGGCCAGTGACAGGTGTGCAGGTGAGCCACCAGTCAGAGGGGCAGGCCAGCCAGCGCTTGTTGTAAGAGGACCCACCATCCCTGTCACCCAGGAGGACCTGGCCCTGTCCTGTGCTGCCCAGGGTTGCTCCTTCTGCTGACACACCTGAGCCTGTGAGGCCTGTGGAGGAAGGTGTAAGCCCAGCCACAAGCTGTCCCCGTTCTGTCTTCCTCCTCCATCAAGGGCCTTCTTCCACCCAAGGGATGGAGCTGTGCCTACCATCCTGGATCCCACGCTGTCTAACCTCTCCATACCCATGTTCAATTGCGCTGCACATGTTTGTCTCTGTGTATTTATTTAAGCCTTTCTTTGCTTCTAGGGCATTTTGTATGTAGAGAAGTTGAAATGAGAACCTCAAAACGTAATGTCTGCCCTGATGTTAAAGTGCTTTTAGTGACCACTCTGTTATCTATGTATGTGTAAGGTTAAGGATAAGTTCTTAAGTTTACAATTAAAAATTCAGTACTCGATATTTAATATTCCACTCTAGCTTTATGGAATCCAAACTGTGTGTATGGTTTTGAACCTCCCCTTTACTACAGCATCTACCAATTACATCAGGCTGTCATACATATCTTTCTGTGAGTCCACATTCAGTGCCTCACAATTTCTCACTCAATCATAAGAATTTAACAGCAAACAAGACACCAGGGAGATGTTACACAAGTGTCATATAGCTAAGAGTTTAGAAAAAAAGCAGATAAAAACTCCAAACTCTTCAACTTACAGGGCACGTAGTAGTAACAAAAGGATTCTTGTTGACAGGTCAATTGCTGAAAATTAATTAGACCCCTCATGTGCTCTGCCCACCTCTTCCTGTTAGCAGAAGTGGCCCTGGGCCTGCAGGTCTGGAGTGCTAGTCCTGGAGGTGCCCCCGGTTTCCATGAAAACAGCTGCCTCCTCCTGCAGGTAGCCATGGGCATGGTGAGGGTCCTTTCCCTGGGGTAAGTACTCCCTATTCTACTTACTGGGAGCACAGGCAAGGAAATTGAGTAAGGTCTGCCTGGAACAGTGGATATGCTTGTGGTTGCATTGTTTGTTTTGTTAAAGGGTTTTTAATAAGTATGTTTGGCATAATGTCTTTTAACGGGTCTGTAATAATGGTTTTAGCAGCCTGTAACTTCAGCTGGTGCTTTTAATCAGAAAAACAAATTTATAAATGCAAAACATTGTTTAAAAGACATAACCATAGAATATAGTTTCTTGTTTGTGGATTTCTTTTTCTTTGTATTCAAAGTAAAATCACTTGGAGTAGCTATTGCTTGCTGTGTCCTTGTCCTGCCTTCTGCCCTTTTCCTGCGCCACCCCAGAGTAGCTCTTGCCTGCCCCACCCAGCCAGCAAGGCTGTGGGGACTTCTGCTGACCAGGGGTGTGGATGCAGAGCCCATACTTGAGTCTTCCCCTCTGTTGATGATGTTCCTCTGGTCCATCCCTGCCTGGAGGGGAGGGAACCTCTGAGACATCCCACATAAGGCCTGAAGCACTGTCTGTTCCTCCTTGGCACTCAACACAGACTTCCTCACATACTTTGGCCAACCTCCATGTTCCTGGGGAGTTCTTTTCAGGTGTTTTATTTCTTTTTATGTGAAAGACAAAACTAACCATTTAATACAATTCATTGGTATTAAATATTCACAATGTACAACCAGTACCTCTTTTTGGTTCTAGAACTGTTCCATCACCCCAAAAAGAGACCCTTGATCTCCTGAGCAGTCACACCCCATTTCCTCTCCCCCATTCCTGGTAACCACTAATCTGCTTTCTGCCTATAGATTTGCTTGTTCTGGACATTTTGTATAGACAAAATCATACAACATTTGGCCTTTTGTGGTCTGGCTTCCCTCAGCACGTTTTTTAGGTTTATCCATGTTGTAGTGTTAACAGTGCTTCGTTCCTTTTTATGACTGAATAATAATCCATTGTGTGGGTGGACATTTTGTTCATCTTTCATCCATCAGTGGGTATTTGGCTGCTTTCCCTTTGTGGTGAGTGTGAGCAGTGTTGCTGTGGGTGTGCTGTACGTTTTTGTTTGAACATGTATTTTGTTTAATCTTCACCCAAGGATATTTTTTCCATTGATTTTCAGAGAGAGTGGAAGGGAGGGATGGAGGGAAAGAGAGAGAAACATTAATATGAGAGAGAGACATCTATTGTTTGCCTCCCCCACACACACCAACCAGGACCCAGGATTGAACCTGCAACCCAGGTACATGCCCTTGATCAGGTAGTGAACTCAACGACTCTTCAGTGCACGGGCTAACGCTCTATCCACTGAGCCACACATTGGCCAGAGCTGAATGAACATGTGTTTTCAATTCTCTTGGGTTATGCCATGTTTGTTTTTTCCAATCCTCACCAGAGGATTTTTTTTTTGTACGTGCCCCTAGCGGGAACCAAACCCAGGACTCTGGTCCGCAGGCGATGTTCCAACCACTGAGCCAAACTGGCCAGGGCTTATTTTGTTTTGTTTATAGATTTTAGAGAGAGAGGAAGAGGGAGAGAGAAACACTGATTGGTTGGGAATGTGCCCTGACTGGGAATCGAACCTACAACCGTTTGGTGCATGGATGATACTCCAACCAACTGAGCCACTAGGGATTGTGCCATGTTTTTGTTGTTGTTGTTACTGATTTTAGAGAGGAAGGAAGAGGTAGAGAGAGGAAACATTGATGAGAGAGAACATCGACTGGCCCCCTCCTGCATGCCCCCTACTGGGGATTTGGCTCACAACCTGGGCATGTGCCATGACCAGGAATCAAACTGGCGACCTTTTGGTGCATGGGTCGACGCTCAACTACTGAGCCACACCTGCTGGGCTGTGCCATGGTTTTAATGTGCAGGGATGGTGCTGAGCTGCCACCCATGCTGCATCAAAGCCCTCCAGTCATTCTTGTTTCTGCACCCCAAGCTGATGCCCAGGTGGTCTCAACTGCTTGCTTCCAGGGGCATATCTGAGGACTGCTCTGGACCATGGTCCTGGGACCAGACTGCTGAACCCTGGATGTGTGGACGATTCACTTCAGCACAGTGACCTTGCCATCCACATCATTGAGGTCTGGCTCCCTCCACCCCAACCCTGCCAACCTGGGCTTAGGCAGCTTTTTAACTTGGGGGTGGACTTAGTTTGTTGGCTGGATGTCATTTCCTCCACTGTGAGCCTCACAACTCCTGTGTAGGAAGTGTGTCCTGAGCTTGCTCAATCAGGACATTGCCATAAACCCACAGTGGAACCAGCAGGCTGGTCCCGAGATGGCTGCTGTTTCGGGAAGTGGCCCTTGACACAAGAAGTCACCTTGGGCCCTGGCTGGTTTGGCTCAGAGGTTAGAGCGTCAGCCTGCGGTCCAGAGAGACCTGGGTTCGGTTCCCGCTAAGGGCACATACCTTGGTTGCAGTTTGTCCCCAGCCCTGGATGGGTCGTGCAGGTGGCAGCCACTCGATGTGTCCCTTTCATGTCGCTGTTTCTCTCTCTGCCTCTCTCTCCCTCTCACTCTAACTGAACAACAACAACAACAAAACACCTTGGTCCTGGCCACCCAGGGTGGGGCTCCAGCAGCCTCCCAGGGACCTGGGAACCCCACCCACACATGGAAGTGAGTGACTTTCCCCACAGAGAGCCTCCACAGCCATCTCACTCCCATCATCCATGCAGTTTCAGGAACCCAACACCTGAGGGGATGTCTTGGTAGAAATCCTCCGAGTGGCCACCTCACATTCCCAGGCAGGCCTTGCAGACATCACAGAGCCTGTTGCCAGCCAGGTCTACTGACAGAAGTGTGACTAAGACACTCTCTGGGCCCCCGTGTCTCATGATGTGGAAGAGATGCACATGAGGAATGTATGTGAGGGACACAGGCAGGAGACATCAGGCTAACAAGCAGGGAAGGTCCTGAGGCAGGAGATGCAAGAGAATGGTGAGAAGGAGCCAGACAGGAAGGGCTTACATGCCAAGAAACCTGTGTGTTGTGGCCAAGGGAGGCAGAGCAGTTGGGCTCAGGTGGGGGCAGCAGGACAGTGCCCTGGAATGCCTGGCTGAGGAGACAGAACCTCTTCCAATTAACCAGCAGTTGCCAGAGAAAGTTTCCACAAACCACCAGATGTTGGTGAATGAGGAACAGCTGCTATGGTCATAGAGTTCTGGGAAACTCTAGTAATTCCAAACCTCTGGCAAGAGGTAAGCACAAAGAGATGCTGTTCAGAAAAGTCCTAGGTATCTGCAGGACACACTTACGAAGTGGATGACAGGAGGTAGCCATGGGACTGTGGGGAGGACAGTAGTAGGCCTCACTGAGGCTGGTGGGTGGACAGGGCAACTGGCCTGAGTATCAAATAGCTGGGACAGGGGTCATTAGTCGTTTTTGACACACACACACTCCAATCGTCAGAAATCTGCTGGTTACCCTGCCCGTCCCTGGCCATCTCTGACACCGCTCCTCTAGCCATAGTCATGTCTCCCACCTAGATGTTGTTCAGCTTCTTTCCTGAATGGTTTGGGAATATTCTGTTCTCCCTTCTATCTGTCCCCCTGTCAGGGATACTCTCCCTGTAGCTGTTCAGCATCACCCAGAACATCCTGGCCCAGGCCTGACATATAGTGAGTGGGTCCATGGAGAAGCCCAGGAAAGATCAGGGTGTAACTCCAGGAAGGTTCAGCAGATGCCACGTGGATATCTGTCCAAGCTGCCCACAGGCGTCAGCATGCCCAATCACTGTAGCCAGGTTCCCCCCAAGAAATACCAACAAGATCCTGCTGTTTTGCAGGGGAGCCTGGACCTTACTCATACCCTGGGCTAATAGGCTCCAGGGGCCTGGGAATTGGAAATGTCCCTGATATGTATTGGCTTTATCTCTTGGCCTCTTTGAACTTTGCGTTTATAAATCCCCACAAAGAAAGCTGTTCAGGGAGAGGCAGGCAGTCCTGCCTCTGTGGGCCATTCTGTTTAGCACATGACATCGCTTTCTCTCCTTTTTTTTTTTTTTTAATCCTCACCCAAGGATATTTTTCCATTTTTTGTACAGATAGAGTGGGAGGGAGAGAGAGGGAGAGAGAGAGAGAGAGAAACATCGATGTGAAAGGGACACATCGAGTGGCTGCCACCCGCACGACCAACCAGGGCTGGGGACAAACTGCAACCGAAGTACGTGCCCTTAGCGGGAACCGAACCCGGGTCTCTCCAGACCGCAGGCCGACGCTCTAACCGCTGAGCCAAACCGGCCAGGGCGACATCGCTTTCTCTATTTGAACCTCACCAGCCTCTTCTCCCAATACAACTCCAGTTAGCTCAGAGTTTGGACTGGTCACAGGAGGAGAGGTGCTGCTGGGGTCAGAGGGTAGGGTGCCCACCCCACCTGGGACAAGGGAGTTGGACTCTGAGAGCCATGAAGGCCCCATTATGCATCCCCACCTACCCCTAGGAGGGGATTGCTGTTGGTCCCCAGGGGAGCAGAGAGGAGGAGGAGGATTGCTGACAAATTTAAATGCTTATTTCATCCCAAATTCATGCTCATACAGTGAGATTACAATACAATTGGTTGGAGAAGGAAAGGAAAAGATTAATTTCAATGTGAATTTGATTTCCTCAGTACTTTGATATTTTTATACTTTTTTTCACGGACCAGCAAATAGTTAAAGGGACTATTACAGTGTTGCTTCATGAAAAATATGATACCCTTGACGCACCACAGCTGCTACAACAAATGTCACTTTTAAAAACATGACATTTTGCCCTGGCCAGTTTGGCTCAGTGGTTAGAACAGTGGCCTGCAGTCCAGAGAGACCCGGGTTTGGTTCCTGCTAAGGGCACGTACCTCGGTTGCAGTTTGTCCCCGGCCCTGGTTGGGTTGTGTGGGTGGCAATCACTCAATGTGTCCCTTTCATGTCAATGTTTCTCTCTCTCTCTCTCCCTCCCATTCTATCTGAACAAAAAATGGAAAAATGTCCTCGGGTGAGGATAAAAAAACAAAACAAAACATGACATTTTGAATTTGTGGAGACAGATTAGTGCCCCTTTGCTCCATCCCTGCCCTGTACACTGAAAAGCTCTGAAACAGCTCTCTGGAGATGAGCCACTTTGTTAGTGTGTGTTAGTTTTGTTCTAAGTGTCATTACTTCTTACTTTTGTAATCCTCACTGGAGGATATTTTTCTATTTATCTTTCTGAATGGTCTGGATAGAGTGGGAGGGAGGGAGAGAGAGAGAAAGAGAAACATCAACATGAGAGGGAGACACCGACAGGCTGCCTCCCGCGAGACACTGACCAGGCCTGGGGATGAAC